GGCCTCGCGTTAGTTTCGTTCCTTATCCATCAAGTCCCCCCCCCATGCCGTTCCATTCTTCAATGAATCGGTAAACGAGTTGCGCCACGATTGAACAAGGAGAGGAGATGGAAGATGGAGAAGAAGAACGAAGAGAGAACAATTAAAGAACGAGATGGAGTGATTCGATAAGCTGTTGCCTAACACGGCGCCAAGTAGGCAACACGTTCGGAGATGAAAGAGAGGGAAGGAGAGAACGAAGAAATCATGCGCCGATAAAGAAGATGAAGGGTGTGTACCCTCTGAAGGTATTTCGAGCGCTTGAGCGACTGGAGTCTGAAGATGGATGATGATCGAAGAAACCAAGAGCGAACAAAGAGCGAAGGCAACGCAGTGACGACAAAAAATAGATAAATTAATGAAACCACAATTAATCATGATTCGGCTAACGGTCGCTTTCGTTCTTTTCGCTCACTCCGGAGCCGCGGCGCCACACGGTTTTTCACTCCGTGAGTGCGTTGCCGGGTGTCGTGTCCCCCGTTGTGTTTTGTGCCGGTGGTGTGGTGCTTGGAACTCAGCGGTGCTCCACACATTTTCTTACCCCCTTGTTCTTCTGTGAGTGTAGCACAATTTCAAGTCCGAGCCACCACTCGTCGGGTTGTCAGTGTGTTGCGCCTGGTGGTGGTGTTGGGAAGAGGCCTATGGAGCTTAGGCCTGAAGGTAGCCGAGAAGGGCGGCCAGGGGAGCGGTGAGGCTGTGGGCGCTGCTGGGCCGGGCGGTGCAGTCCTCGTTGGCAAAGGTGTTGTCGACGGCGATGGGCACCGGGGACGGAACCGTGGACGGGTGGGCAAGGCCGATCACGCCCACCATTATCCGCTTGCCCGACGTACCTGAACGCACAGCACCCACGCGTTCTTAGCATTCTTCTCCACGCACCTTCTTATCATCGCACACGCACACGCACACACGCACACACGCACACGTCCAACGAGAGAGGCGGATGAACGTACCGGCTTGGTCGCAGCCGTAGCCAGAGCCATGATCTTTGCCGCTGTGGATTGCGACCTGATGATTGCACATCAGGCACCGACAATTAATTGTGAGCATTGTGCCACGCGATAATGATGGTGATGGTGACGGTGATGACGAGGATGACGTACAGCGCGGCCGAGCAGGGAATGCACGTCGGGGATGTTGGTGGTGGTGTAGTTGAAGTGGGCCAGGCCCGTCGCCGAGTCGTAGGACTGGATGTTGCCCAGATCGCCGACGTGGCGCGGCGTGGTCTCGGGAACGTGGTGCTTGGCGCCGGTCGGGTTCCAGTGCGAACCGACGCTGGAGCCGTCGGTGCTGCTCAGATCGCCATACTGTTGTGGAGATAAAAAGAAAATAGAACAATATTCAATTAAAACTAGAAAATAATAATAATAATAACAGTAATAATAAAAAAGAACAACAAAGGCATGTGGTGGGCGCACGGTGTGAATGTGGAAGCCGTGCTTGCTGTTCAGCTCAAGACCGGCCACCTCGGCCACCACACGTACACCCTACGCACACATAAAATACGACCAATCGCGAGTGTGAGTACATTGCAACGGCGGTTGCGACCAGTGGTGTAGAGAGAACGAGCCGGAGTTTTAAAAAAACACTGAGCTGAGCCGAGATGTGACCGTGGCGTACCTCGTCCTCGACGGTGATCCATACGGTGCCGCTGCAGCTCTCATTGCAGTTCGCAGTCGGCTCGAGCACAACCACAGCCGACTTCGCCGTCGTGTCGCCATCTACAGGTGCACGGAGTGGGTCAGTGTCGTACGCCGCGTGTGCGCGTACGGTGCGTGCGTGTGCGGTGGTGCGTGCGTGTGCGGTGGTGCGTGTGCGCATGGTAGGCGAGGTTTGGAGTGCGTACTGGTGGCGGCGTTGCCAGCGACGTTGGGGATGCCGATCACACCGACCGCAAGGAAGTTGCCGGCGTGTCCGGTGGGTTGGCCGCAATCGTCCTCACCCGCATGCAACACGACAGCCCGACCAATGATCGAGCTGACCACCCATCGCACTTTAGTTTTCTCACACTCCATGCGTGTGCGTGTGCGTGTGCGTGTGCGTGTGCGTGCGCACGTACTTGATGTCGGTGAGCTGGAGCAGGTCCAGGGTCTTGGACATCTGGATGACGCCGCTCACCGCGGTCCAGTTGCCCTACAGTGGTGGTGGTCGGTCATTAGCACACACCACCGCCTTCACAGGCCCATATAGCCGAGGGCCGAGGAGGGAGTGCGCACCATGTCGCCCTCGTGGCGCTCGAGCGAGGGCGGGCAGCCGTGGGTGGCCGAGCCGGCGCCCGCAAAGTGTGTGCCGGCAGACGAGCCCGTCGTCTTGTTGGTCAGGTCGCCAGACTACGAGCAGGCCACATGAAATGTGCAGAAAGCGCATTTCAGTAAATTCATATAATTATAACATATAACATTATGTCTCATTGGTTTGTTATTCGTTTTGGGGAACTCCGACGCACCTGGTGAACATGCATGGCGTAGGCCTGGCTGCCCAGTTCGCCCGTGATATTTGCCTCCACGGTGACCTGCGCAGGTATTGATCAAGAATGGGGTGAAAATGAAATAAAAAAACGCAGTAACTACTTTGCGTCCGGCGGGGGTACATTGCCGTCGGCCGAGAGGGTGAAGGTCACATAACCGGCAATGTTGAGGTCCGTGCCGAAGCTGGTCGTGCTCAGCTTGGCGACTCCCTTCGCTAAATGTAAAAATATGTTATTTTGCGCAGCAGGGTTAGCCATAAAAACAGAATAATAACACGTGTGCAGCGTTGTTGTGGTGTACGCACTGACTTGAGCGCTGGCCGCCGAAGCAAGAAAGACGACGCTGCAGAGCGCAACGAAAAGGGCTGGGGTCATCTTCATCTTGGGCAGTTGAGAGGGGTGTGTTGTGCTGCTGGCAGAAAGCGGAAGTGCTGGGGGGAAGGAGACCAGCAATTCGTCGACCAACCGATTCTGCCATTTTTCCGTTCATCAAGCCAATGCGCTGTGGCCTCTCGCCGTCATCTCCTTCAAGCCCGGATGAAGTGAAGTTGACGAAGAAGGAAAACGGCAACCAATCGGCAGCTTTAGGGATCAAATTAAACACATTCTACTAAGATGCGAAGGCCACGCTGGTCAGTCGTCCTGACCGCTCTCCGGTTCGGCTTCCTTGGTGGTTGCCCCTCTCGGCTTCCTCGACGGCGCTCGTCGGCCTCTCGCGCCCACCGCCCTCGCCTTCCGCACCTCGAGGAAGTGGTCCACGAACTCGCCTGCGGCCAAGACCACACCACTTCAGCGCACGGACGACACGTGCAACACAACACCACCCACACGACACACGCGACACAGGCAACAACAAACGAGGGAGGCTGCGCACTGTCGGCTGCGGCGGAGGCGGAGGTGGCGGCAGCGGTGGGTGTTGATGGCTTTTCCTGCTCTTCCTGAGGCAGAGAGAAGGTCACCTTGTCCGCCTCGGAGGGTACTCCCGGCATTGGCGCGGCTGCTCATAAGGTGTGACAGTGTCGTGTCGTGTCGTGTCGTGTCGTGTCGTGTCGTGTCGTGTCGTGTCGTGTCGTGTCGTGTCGTGTCGGTTAGTAAGACTCTGGTGTGGGTGGCACGAGATGGAGAAAGCGTACGTTCGGTCGGCCTGGGAGGGCGACGAGGAGGAGGTCCGCCCATCATCATGTTGGGATTGAACATCCCTGTGTTGTGTGTGTTGTGTGTGTATGTGTGTGTGTCGTGTGTTCATGCAATCAGTCACCACGTTCACGTGAGCACCGCACGCAGCCCGGAAGACCGGCTAGCCAACACGCACCTGGAGGTTCTTGACGAGCTGCTGCCTGGCGCCCTCGAACTTCTGCTGCTGCTGCGCGGTGTTCTGCAGCTGCTGCTGGGCCTGGGCCTCCTGCCTCTCGCGCATCTGCTTCTCGAAGTGGTTGCCCAGGTTCTCGGTCTTCTTGACCCTCCGGATCGTCAGCCTCTTCTCCGACTGCAGCTTGCGCTCCTCAGCCTGCGCCGTACTCTCGCGCTGCTTCTGCGCCTCGGCCGCGGCCGCAACAGCGGCGGCGGCGTCGGTCTTCTGCTTCTGCGCGGCCTCGGCCTCGGCCTCGAGCGCCTTCTTGGCCCGTTCCTTCTCGGCCTCCTCGCGCTTCTTCTTTCGCTCGTCCAGCCTGGCGTTGAGCGCCACCGTTACCGCCGCGCCGTCCCAGTCTATTTCCGCACACGGCTGTGTTTCAGCGCACGAATGCGCACACGCACACGCACCGCACACGCACACGGCCGAGACGCGGCATAGAGAGCGCGAGGCGAGCGAAAGTACCGTGGTCGCTGAGGAGGTCTCTGATCTCCCATTCCTCGAACTCCTTGTCGAAGGCGAGCAGCAGCACCTGGACCTGCTTGTTCTCCGAAGCTTGGAGGAGGTTGGCCGACGCCTCCTCGGTCAGCGTGAAGTGGTGCTTGGCCAGCACCTCCTCGATCTCCTCCCTTCGCGCGTGACGAGCAAAAATGGAATAAATATAATTGCACTCCTATATCTCATATGTCTCTTTTTCTATTTCTAAATATCTAAAACGATTGTACCTGGTGAGAGAGTCGAACTGCTCCTGGGCGAGCGAGACCGCCAGCGCGTTCTTGTCGGCCGTGTCCTCGATTGATGCTGCAAATGAACGAAAACGGTGAGAAGAGTATTTTTTTAAAAAGAAAATGAAAAGGTGAGTGTTGCGGCGTGTACCGAGCTCGGCGGTCACTTCGCCGTGGGAGAGCGATTCGATGAAGTTCATGATGACCGCCTTCTCGCGCTCTTCTTCATTGACGGAACCCGATCCGGACCCGGCTCTCTCCGCCTTCTTGTTCTTCTTCAGCTTCTCCTTCTTTGCCTTCTTCTCCTGCTTCTCCTTATCCTATTGCACGCCGCCGCAAGCAACCGTGAGTCACGAAATAAAACAAGCCAAAAAACAAAAGATCACAATGAGAAGAAAATTAATAAAAGTTTTAAGAAAAGCAGGAGACGATGAATGAACCTTTCTTTGGCTCTGTCGCATTTGCTCTTCCATCTCGGCTCGCCGCTTCTTTTCCTCGGCCTCGCGCATCTTGGCCTCGGTGAGGGCGACGAGGTAGAGGAGCTCGTCGATGGTAGCCTCCATATCACCATCGCATTCTTTGTAGATCGTCATGATCTCCTCCTTCGGGATGAGCTGGAACCTGATGACGACCCACACCATAAGCTTCCGCCTTAACACACGCACACGACACGACACACGACACGACACGACACACACGACACAGACACGACGCACGCCACACGCACGACACACGCACGACACACACCGACACACGACACTGACAAGGTGGTAGTAGGCAGTACTTTTCCTCGAGCTTGGCTTGGACGCGAAGCTTTTGTGCCTTGGCTCTCTTGGCCTGTTCCTCCTGGGCAATGCGCTTCTTCCTCTCGCTCTCCTGCACTCGCACCTTCCTGGCCTCCTTCTGGTTGTGGACCAGCAAATTCACCACACTACCTGCACCGCGCACACAATCATCATTATCGTGTCGTGTCGTGTCGTGTCATGCGTGTGTGTGCGGTGGAGCGTGTGCCAATTGCATACCCGCCATGACGTTGTTGTTCTTCAAGAGCTGGTCCTTCATATCAGCGTGATCTACGCAGAAGATGGACCTATCGTGTGTTGGTGTTGTTGGTGGTTTGTAAGGTGTTGTAAGCAGCGCTGATGCACAAGAACCGGTTGAGCTGCCGTGCGAAGGAGTGAGCGGCAGGGGCAACGCACCCGAGCAGCTTGGCCTTGGCCTCGACCTTCTCGAGTTCGGTGGTCTCCCACTTGTCGATGGCCTCCCCGATGGAGTCGGCCTTGCCCACTGTGGACTGGTTCCTCACCATGGCCTGTCGTGCCTTGGCCGCAAACATGATGATTCGCTACGAGCTGAGATGGAGAAGATTTTAAAACGTTTGCAACGTTCGCCAGAACTTGTTGAAGCAGAAGTGTTGAAGCAGAAGTTCATGAAGGAAATCATGTAAAGGGAGGAGGCCACAAGATGAATGATTGAATTGGGGGCGACTAATGCAAGTTGAAAAGAAGAAAGAGACCAAGTAGAATAAGAAGATAGCTGGTACCAATTGTGTTGGCCTTGGTGCCGATGAGGAAGACAAGGACTTCTAGAAAGCTGTCTAGGTTGAGCGAGCAGTTGTTCGCAACGTGAAGAAGCGTGGCCTTGGCGACTTTGCGCGACCAACGATCGTCGTCGACATTCACGAAACGCTACTGCGAAACCAGAGGATGATGAAAGCTGCTGTGCGCATCTTCTCCGGGCAGCGCGCACTGCATCGATGCCGTCCCTTCCCTGAGGCCTCTCTACGGTTGACCCCTTCCCCTTGGTCGCTGCAATCATCAATTCAAATACAACATGAATTTCAAACCATTACTCCTGCTGATCTCCATTCAACAAAAAGACACTTGAGCACGTCCCGCGACGTAGAAGATCCTCGAGTTGAAGAAGAAGAAGGCGAGGTGGTGCCCGTCCGTTTTGGGTGGGTTCTGGAAGGGCGGCTGGGCGGGATGGCCTTTCCCACGCCCGCGCACCTCCGCTACCTCGCGCGACGGCAGCGCGTGGGCCTCGTCGTCACCCTCACCCCCGAGCCGCTCCCCACCAGCTGCCGCCCCATCGACACCTTCGGCGTCAGACCGCTACAGTTCCTTCACCTGCCGATCGCAGGTCATCATCATCTTCTACTTCGCCATCATCTTCTACTCGCTCACTTTTTATAACCAACGCAGACTACGAGTCGCCCACCGAGGAACAGATCGTGGCGTTCATGAAGGAAGCCAGAGCGACCATCAAGTCGGGCTACGGCGTCGTGGCCCACTGCCACAAGGTGCGACCTTCCCACCCTCCTCCTTCCTGACCGTAGACGTCGGCTTCAAATGGAACTGGTGGTGCTCTCCCTGGCTGCGTCATACGCAGGGCTATGGGCGTACGGGCACCATCCTCGCGTGCTACCTCGTCGGCGAAGAGGGCCTGCAGCCGCAGCAGGCCATCGACCTGGTCCGAGAGAAACGGTGCGCAGCACCCTGGCGGCTCTGATGTGAGTGTTGTCAAGTTCGTTGACAGTTGCATCTGCGCCCGCAGGCCAGGGTCGATTGCGAGGACCCAGGAGCAGGTGGTGCACATCTATCACAAGTACTGGCTCCCCCAGCATGGCGGCGGCCATGGAGAGCGGGGCCAGGCAATCCGGTGATGACAGGGTCAACCTGCAAATTGAGCAGGGCGGTGTTGCTGGAATGCACACATTCATATGTACTTATCATGGTAAAGGGTCAAGGCGAGAAAGTGGGTCGCGGGCACAGTCCGGCCTGAGGGCGGTGGGCCGGGTCCTTCAGCTGCACCCGCTCGCGCTGCGCGACGATCACGCCGGTGAAGGTCGAGAACGGCGAGCCCACGAAGAAGTCGGTCAGCGCACACACGGCCATCTCCGTCACCAGGCGCGCCGAGCTCTGGCAGTGCTGGGGCCACTTGACGGGTCGCAGCCCATCTCGGTGCCGCCGGGCAGGTTGGCCACCAGGTACAGCTCTGTGGTGGCGTTGGGGTTGGTGGCCACAAAAAAAAAGAGCCATGGTCTTGATCTCGGCCACCACGGCCTCCGGCGTTGGTTGCCATTGCGCCAGGTACTCGCGCCACACGTGCACACATCGACACCTTGGTCGCGGTGGCGGTGTCGAGCGGGCGCAGGCTGGCCAGCACAGGTACCAAACCACCTTCAACAAGGGCTGTGGCCAAGAAATAGGCATTTCTTTTCTATTTCTTGTTGTTACAGGCATCAGGCAAGAGGCAGCTCTTGGAGCTCGGCGCCAACCGACGGCGATGACGGCGATGAAGTCGATGTCTTCTTGTCGAGCAGCTTCTGCTTGAGCCGCTCCTCCTCGATGGCCAGCTTCTTCTGCCGCCTGCGCTCCTTGATGTCGTGCATGTACTTCCGGTTCCACACGTCGCCGTCCTCCAGGAAGTACAGATCGTAGGGCTTGTCTCTCTTGTTCCAGTCCCGCACATTCGACTCCCGCACCTCCACCCGGTCGTCCCTGTCCCACACGCCCTGCGTAGCCACCACCATCACATTAGTTACATTGTGTGTGTGTGTGTGTGTGTGTGTGTGGTGGTGTGTGTGCACATGCGTGTTGTGTGTGCACATGCGTGTTGTGTGTGTGCACATGCGTGTTGTGTGTCGTGCGTACCAAGAACCAGGTGCCGTCGGGCCAATCCATTCGGCCCTCGCCCTGCCGCAGGCCATGATCCCACCCGCCTTTGTATACACTCCCATCGGCCCACGTGTACGTGCCCTACAGTCCAGAGCGCGGTCAGTGTGTGTGTGTGTGTGTGGCGTCGCACTCACGCACACACAACGACTGTACGCACCTGGCCGCGCTTCTCACCGGCGTGGTACTCGCCGTCGTAGCTCCGCCCATCGAACCACGTGTTGACGCCCTTGACCTGATTGCAGTTCTCCCACAGGCCCGTGAAGCTGCACAACGAGTGAGCCGGCCACATTGTTTTTTTTTAAAAAAAAACTAAAAAGCCAATGAAACCAACAACGAAATAATAATTAATAAATAATAATAATAACAACTAAAGTATCAAATAACACCCACAATAATAATAATAAAAACGCACCAGTTGCCGGACTTCCATACGTAGGTGCCGTGCCCGTTCTGCTGGCCCCCGACCCAGTCGCCCTCGAAGTAGCTGCCGTCGTTCCACGAGTGCCTCCCGTGTCCCGTCTCCATGCCCTCGACCCACATCCCCTCGTACTTGCCATCTGTGTGCGTGCGCGTGTGCGGTTGGGCGTGTGTCGCGTGTGCCGTGGGCGCGCTATGAGCGACGCACACAACGCACGACGAGCAGCGGCGGCGGCGGCGGCAGTACCCTTGGGGTGGCTCTTGACGCCGTAGCCGTGGGGCAGCCCGTTCTGCCAGAGGCCCTCGTAGATGACCATCGTGTGAGCCCACACGGCATTCGCCTCGCCGTCCGCGTAGTCGTTGGCGAACTGGCCCACGCACTTCCACTGCTTGTCCTCGTCCCTGTGCCATTTGATGCCCGCGCCGTGGAATTGGCCCTCCTTCCACTCGCCTGATGGGCGTGTGCGTGTCATGCGTGTGTGTCGTGTCGTGTCGTGTGGTGTACAGCTATGTAGGTTAACAATTGGGTGCGTGCGCGCTCAAGGTTGAGTGTGATTCCTGATGGGGGCGTAGCATGAAGCGCGCGCGTACCCTCATAGCGCACGAACGTGCCGTCGGTCTCGTTCCATTCCTTCCACCCAATTCCGCTTGGACTCTCGATTTCCATCAGACAATTCTGCTCCGCACACACACACAACACACCGCGCACGACACACCGCACACACCGCACAACGCACACACGTCAGGCTTTACGATTGCTTTGTCGTTCGCGTTTGGGGCGGAACCGTTTTGGCGCGGTAGAGCCACTTCCAGGTGCGGTCCTTGGGCTTGACCCAGCTCTCGGCCCTGGCCCGGAACGCCCGCCGGTTCTCCTCCGTCTTCCTCTTCTTCTCCCGCCGCTTCAGCGCCTCCCGGTCCCACACCTCGATCTTCTCCTCCGCCTCCGCTTCCACCTCACCCGTGCGCCCCACCTCCTTCCTGTTTGCACGGTCACCAACTCTATCATTAGCCGTGCGTGTGTGTCGTGTGTCGTGTGTGTCGTGTGTGTGTGTCGTGTGTGTGTGTGTCGTGCCGTGAGCATGTGCGCAGGAAGGAGTGAGGCGCCTGTACCACAGGAGAGGCTCGTCGACGAGGCCGAAGGGCTGGTGTGTGTACTGGTAATCGGTGGGTGCTGGTGAATCGGGGGTGGTGCCGGCGGCGGCGGCGGCGGTAGGAGCGGGCGTGGGGGCGGTGGGCGGTGGGGCGAGGACGGGGTCGGGGTGGTCCGCGAGGATCCGCCGGACCTGGGTCTCCCACACCTCCTCGTCGTCGACCAGGCTGCGCCACTGCCCGCACACTACATTCCATTTACCAAAATATTTTTTTAGTTAATTTAATTTTGGATTTTATTTGTTTGTGTTGCCAGCGAGGCATTTAATAATAATAAAATAATAAATAAAAAAAGTTGAGGGGGTGAGGCGGGGTGAAGGTACCCAAGGCCACCGTGTTCAACAGAATCTTACCATCTATGAAGCTAAAGATGCGCAACCAGATCTGTGGGGCAATAGAAAAAATAGAATTATTGGTTATACAAGCTGGGCATTGCTGGGCTGGAAAGGAAACGCGATCAAGTCCTTGACGCACTTCGAAGGGCAAGACGTCCGCCACGCTCTCCATCTCCTGTTAAAGTTCCGGTCGGTCTTGCGCCCGTAGCACACCACCTTTTTCGGTGAGCCACTTTCTTCTTATGAATAAAATAAAATTAACTCTTAAAAACTCATTTTTATGCCACCACGTGCCGCACAAACCACACCACCTGCAGCCCACACCGACCCCCCACTGCTCCTCAGGCGAGGACGGTGCGAATGACATCGCTGAGGGCGAGCACGCCGACGGGCTTCTCGTTCTCGTCAGTCACCCACAATCTGTGCACCTTGGCCTCCACCAGCTTGTTGATCGCCATGTCCAACTGTACACGACACACACGACACACACCGTCAATTCGGCACATCGTCATCGACAGGGTGGGCGGGAGGGGACAGCGGACCTTTTCGTCGGGAGAGCAGCGAATGAGGCTCGCGGGCGCCTTCCTCTCGGTGTACTTCAGGAAATCGAGGACCGGCAGCGTGAGCTTGTTCAGGCTCTCATCGGTGATTCCTGTTGACCATCAAAAGCAAACATCGTCATCGTCATCATCAGCATCAGCATTGGCATCCTCATCAGGTGGATGTGTGCGTCGAATGCAGTCAGTCCACGACAGGCCCAGGGTCAGTTACCTCTGAGGTCGGACGCCGAGATGGTGCCGATGAGCTTCTGTTGTCTGTCCAGCACAGCTGTGGCGAAAGAACAAGAAAACAACATTTATATTAATAATTATATAAATATAAACAATAATAAAACAATAAAAAAAATAAAAGAAAGAAAATAGTACCGAGCGCGCTGACATTGTTGCGGACGAGGTGACAGAAGGCCTTGATGGTGGTCGTGTGCTCGGAGACGTGGAGCACGCGCTCGTGGATGATGTTGAGCTGGCCGACGGGAGTGTTGAGGACCTGGCGGTCGAGCTGGTCCTTGCGCTCGCTCAGGTAGCGCACGATGTCCGACTGCGAGACCAGCTTGGCGTCCCGGCCCTGCCCGATCAGCACGCGGTGCGTGTCGTGGCTGAGCACCTTGGCCACGTCGCCCAGCGTCGCCTCCTTGTCCAACACTTGAAAGTTACGGCTCCTAATATATATCAATGTATACACATATGATACAACATAGTGTCAATATATAGCGCGGTGTAAGCTGTCATGTAAAAGTGTAGTAGAATGAGTGGCACGCACCTCGGCGACTGCTTGAGGAGGTCGCCGGCCGTACGGTCTTCGAATTCGAATTGGCGGAAGAGCTCGGGGGCCACCTGCAGGTTGTCGTCCATCACGCTCGTCTCCTGGCTGGTGAAGAACTGGAGAGCCGTGAACTTGACCAGGTCCAACACGTCCACCAAGCCCACACAACCTGGTACACATATTTTATTTATTAACAAATAATATATAAATAATAATAAATCCAATATTAATTGAAATAATAAAGGCTGGTGGGTACCTTTGTCGTTCTCCATGACGGGCACGGAGAGGATGCGGTTGGTGTGGAGCGTGCGTAGGACGTCCTTGAGCGGCGTCTTGGTCTCGACTGAGATGAGCTTGCGCGAGGCTAGTGCCCCCAACGCTTCTGCTACCTTGACGTTCTTCATGCTGCTCATGGCCTTGCTCTTCTTGCGCGTTTCTCAATCTGACAACTCTGTCTCGCTCTGCTCGCCACCCAAACAATCAGTCAGACGCGAAAACAAAGATGGAACTGATTAGATGGGAACCACTACCTGGTGCGTTTGTATTCTACTCAACTGCTCCCAGCATGAGGCCATGCTAAGGCGCCTCTTGTCGTGAGGCGTCAGACTGCCGTGCCCTTGCCTCCACAACTGGCCGACCACAACCTGAAAAAAGGTTGAAATATTGGCGACAAGGAAAAAGAAAGACTACTGAAGGAAACCTAAAGGAAACAACTTTTCTTCCAACCCCGCAAAAGGAAAACAGCGCCCCAGCAAAAGCTGGCTACTGCGGAGAGTCCGCCCAGTTCTCCGACCACCTCGCCGCCACCCTCTTCCTGCCCGTGCGCTCAGGGCGAACCCACGCTGGCCGTGTTCGACCGGCCGCCATCGAGTCCTACATTCGCCAGCCGTGCAATGGTGCAGTCAAATGAGACCATGGCCTGCGCGCAGGTTGATACCTCTACCCTGTCGATGATAACCGCCAACTCTCATTTTCGCTGGACTCTTCTGTCACCGCCAACGCACCGCGAGCCGCCGACGTGGATCTGGCGCGCATTCCGATGCTGGCCATGCCCCCAACCGCCGCATTTCAGATGAGCGTGCCGCTGGACGAGTTTCCCGTGCTGCCCTTTACAGTCGCCATCGTTGAATCGGCCACCGTTGTGCTGGCCAGCCTGCGCCCGCTCGACACCGGTCCGGCTTCCAAGCATCAGACGAACCGGGTCGTGAGCATGTGCGTGCACTTGGGCTGGGACCTGGTTCGATGGAAACCGACGCTGGAGGCCGTGGTGGCCGAGATCAAGACCATGACAGCGCTGCGGGGCGTGACGCGGCTCTTTGTGGCCGCCAGCGCTAACGCCACCGCAGACCGGGGTGTACCTGGTGGCCAACCTGCCCGGAGGCCCCGAGATGGGCTGCGACCGGGTCAAGTGGCCCCAACGCTGCCAGATCTCGGCGCGCCTGGTGACGGAGATGGCCGTGTGCGCGCTGAGGGACTTCCTCGTGGGCTCGCCGTTCTCGACCTTCACCGGTGTGATCGCCGCGCAGCGCGAGTGCATTCAGCGGAAGGACTCGGCCACCACGGCCCAGCGCCCCGCTCACCCCCTCACTTTCTGGCCTTGACTGTCCATAACGACAAGTACACCTGAGCGGGGCGTTTGGCTTCGTCACATTCCTCAAACTCTGCAGACAGGAACAGAAATTGCTAAAATATCACTCGCGCCAGGCGAGTTCAGCGTAGAGGGCCAGGTGGTCCGACGGGTGGTTTCGACAGGGCAGCCGGTCGGGCAGGTCGCTCACCGCCGGCACGGCCAGGAGGGCCACCGGCACCATCGCCTCGGCCGGGTACCATATGTAGTCGATCGTGCGCCGCACCTCCGTCTCCCGCTTCTTGTACGTGCTGTAGGGCTCTGCTGCAGCCTCATCGACATCGCCGGCCAGCGGCGGGTGGTGCGCGTAGGCGCTGGCCAGGCGGAACGGGTGCGGCGGTATGGCGGCGTGGATCTCGGCCAGCGGCAGCTCGCCGCGGAAGTAGCGGCACACCAGGCTCGACGGCACGTCGTTGAAGTCGCCCAGCACCACCAGGGGCGCGCTGGCGATGCGCCGGCGCTCCTCCTCATCACCATCGCCGCCGCCGATAAAGGCCAGAGCGCTGCGTAGCAGGAGAATGCCCTGCTCGAGCCGCTTCTCCTCGAAGCCCGGCTTGGCCTTGAGGTGCGTCGCGGCCACGCACAGGTCGCGGCCGTCCTGTTCGGAGCGGAGGCGCAGGCGCACGATGAGGGCCACCTGCGTGTGCGAGCCCTCAAAGTCGATGGCGCGGTGGGCCACCAGCTCGAAGCGGGCGGACTTGAAGAAGAGCGCGCAGCCGTCGGCGTCGCCCTCGCCGTTCTTGACCTTGAAGAAGCCCTCGTAGCCGTGGCTGGCCATGGCCGGCCGGAAGTGATCTTCGTAGTGGTCCACCTCCTACTTCATCAGCCACGTCAGCAACGCGTGCGTGTGCGTGCGGTGGCGTGTGCGTGTGCGTGTGCGGTGAATAGGACAGCCAGACCTCAAGACAGACGACGTCGGGGTCGAGGCTGGTGATCTGCTGGAGGAGGAGGTCCTTGCGGTGTGCCCACGTCAGCACGGCAGGGTCGGTGTGGGGGAAGGCTGACGGTGGCGCCAAGCGGTCGGCCAGCACGTTCATCTGCAGCACCCTCACGATCGGCCCAACTGTTGGGCCAGCTCACTAAAATTAGTTGACCTAAAGGAATAGCATAAAATAATAATAATAATAAAGAAAGCAACGTTGCGTTATTATCTGGAAGAAGGGAAAAGCACCATGTGTGTCTTTAGTCAAGGAGATAATTGGCCGTGCAAGTAGCGCTGTGCCCAGTGTTGTTTCCATCCTTGGTTCTCTTGTTGCTTTGTTGGAATTTTGTTGTTTTTTTCCCATTTCAGCGAATCGGCAAACAACTTTTTGATTTTTTTTTTGGTTTCTTTGATTATGTTTGATACGACGTCTATTATTTGATTAAGGCTGGGGGCAGAGAAACAAGACCAGTTTATAGACGTTTCGGAAATTCCTGGGATGCACTTTTGGGCAAACTCTCACCCACAAACAAAAATTGGTGGTGCTCTTTCCTGTGTGCCAACAAGCAAGCTGGGTGAACCAAGAAACACAATGTTTTGCACTTGCACACAAAATGGCTTCCACTGTTCTGATTGTGGAGGAGCCAGTCCTCCAACCTGCAGAGGCCCTTGCTATGGTCTCTGCTGAGGTGCAGCAGCTGTCCAAGGAGTGCTGCCACTGTGAGAGGATGATGGTGGTGGTTGTGCAGGAGCTTGAGAAGAAAGGAAAAAACAGAAAGTGCTCAAGAGGCTTGTGAAGGAGAGGAGGCCTGAAGAAGAGGAGAAGGCACCCCTCCAGTTGTGGAAGAAGGGGGCCAGGATTGATGGGCAACTGCATACCTTAATTGTGCACACAGTGCTTGTCAATGGCAAGACATGGCAGCAAGTTGTGAAAGATTTCTGTGTCTCTCACAGCTCTATCAACAAGATTGTAAGCAAAGTGAAGGAGCAAGCCCACTGGGGGCACCAGGCACAGCTTGGGCGCCAAGTCTCACCACCCCCAATGAAGAAGAAAAGTGGCCAGTGGGCACTAAAGTTGTGGACTTGGCGATTTTTTGCTTCTCCCCTGAGCAGCCAAACCCATCAAGATGGCTGCATGTCCATGACCTTTGATGGTTCGACTTCAACAACCAGAGCCAACACAACAGATTGCACAAGAAAAACGCTCTCCAACAAACTTGGAATCAGTTTCAATCATCAACTGCCATACCTCCCCCTCCATTTGCCTCATTTTGGCGTATTGATTCCAGTTGGAAAGCCCTTCGCAACTCGATTTTGAGTTGAGCATCAATGCTAGCCACTGGTAGGTACGCCAGTGGCAAGTTTGGTGCCAATGGGTGTGATCTGGCCCCATCGCAGCCAAATGATGCCCCATCGCGCAATCCCCAGTCGGCGCCCAGACCACCGTATTTTTAGACTGACGAGAAAATACAAATGAAACACTTAGAATTTTTTTCGTGCTTTTTTTCGATTTTTGACTATTTTCTGTCCCCACGGCACACTTAACTGACTAGGCGATCTTGTTTTCGGCCTTGGCGGCGTAGACGTCGCGGGCGACGTAGGCCTTGATGCGCTCCCTCTCCGACACGCCGTCGATGAGCTTCTTCACAGCCGGGAAGGCGCCCAGGAGCTGGTCGCGGCTGCCCTCCACCCTGGCGAACACCAGTTGCAGCGCGACCCACAGAGTGACGTCGGCGTAGCTCAGCTTCGAGCCCACGAAGAAGCCGTTGCTGCCGTTCTTCTCGAGCAGCTTCTCAAAGTTGGTAAGCTGGGCCGGCAGGGTCTCCTTGGCCAGCTTCTCCTTGGCCTCGGCCTGCTGGTCGGCCGGCGTGCCAAAGATGGCCTTGGCGATGGCGTTGAAGGTGTCCACGAGCCCCTCGTTGGCCTGGTCGATCAGTGCCTCCTCCTGTTCCCATGATTTTTTCTGTGAGCTTCACCGCACACGCACACGCACACGTACACGCACACACAGGACACAGGACACGTACAGTGGGGTTGGTGCCGTTGTAGCCGTGCTTGCGGGCCAGGTGGTGCGCGATGGCGTTGGACTGGACCAGGGTGAGGCCCGGCTCCTCGTAGAGTGGCACCTGGCCGAAGACGAGCTTGCCGGCGGCGGTGAGCTGGGCCTTGGTCTCTGGCCAGTTGGTGACCGGCACAAAGTCGTAGTCTACGCCGGCGTCTTCGAGCAGCAGGCGGGGCACCTCGGCGCGGGCGAACAGCTTGAAATAGGTGAGGGTGGGCTTGGTCACGGTGCTGGTCATGTTGATGGTCGCAGTTGGGTTGGTGTGGTTGCTGGTTGTGGTGAATGAAGTGGGTTGATTTTTGAAGCTGGTTTTAAGGACTTGCAATCACCCCTTTGCGGCGAGCCGGGGTGGAAGGTCCTGGAAGGCCCGAATCGCCGGTACTTGCCATTGGCCAGACTACTTATTGCCCTTTTGTCGTATGGGGGAACTTTTTTCGGGCCGGCCCGAAAAAGGATCAAAAGGTGCCACCTTTCTCATTTTGAACTCGCGGGCACAACGAAAAGCTTGGCTGTGGTCACTAACTCTGTTAATCCGTGGAGGTGGCCGACAAGCAGGTGCTGGCGTAGTCGCCTGCGAGGAACAGCTGCTCATCGTAGAACGCCGCCTTGATCATCCGCCCGGCGAACCAGCGACCATGGAGTGCCGTCTGTGCCACTTGCGCCTCTGTTTGGTGGTAATAATAAGAAATATTAATATTAATAAAATACACAGAGAGTTGTGCCATACCAGCAGCGCTCTGAAAGAGAATGAAGACTTTGACCACCACCGCCTCTCCGGCCTCCTCCCTGCATTGATGAATGACCACGCGCTCTACATGGCCATACTTGGCAGCTTCCGTTTCGACTTCCGCCTTCAGGTAGTCATCAAGGTCACCAGGACCCACCATGTTCTCGAGCACCACACAGCGGGAAGCCTGAAAGCTCCATTCAATAAATAAAATATGAACTAAATGTACCCACCACCTGAAGGTGGGGAACGCAGAAAAGGGGGGGGCACCATTTGCTTGTTTGGGGTAAAAGACAAAATACCAGAAAACTAATTTTTTTCCTGGCTTTTTGGGCGGGACAGGCCCGTGAGAGAGCTGGCGAGAGAGTCAAGACTCGGCGCTGGCTGGGTGGCAGTGGCAGTGGTGGTAGTAGTGGTGGGCGACTGCTCAAGGCACTCGCGGAGTGTCTGTTGCGTGGTGGGATCATCGAGGAAGTGCTGCATGTGCGAGGTGGCGAAGGAGTGCGTCTGACCGTCTTCGCCCACCACAACCACCAGCACTTGGCTTGTTGTCAGCCCAGCCAGCTCGCCCGCCTGTGGCCACCACCATCCCACGAAACACATTACACCATGATGGCAACAACACAAAAAAGCCGGTCCAAGGTTGCCCACCTGTTGTAGAAGGCGGGTTGTGCGACGATCAGCGACCTGCTGCCGTGCACTTGAGTTCTCGATCGTGGTAACAGGGATTGGGGTTCGCTTCATGTGGCCCGTCCACGGAAAAGCAAGATAAAAGTTATGTGTGTGGACGACGCTTTAGCGTAACATATCTCCCGTGCGGGAGATTACTTCCACGATGCAGAATTGGTTCATCAAATAAATGCTCGGTCCAATGGGACTGTTTTACCACCGACATAAAACCAACGTCCAAATTCATTTTCGTCACCGCCAACTCCAACACACACAGCACAACTCTGCCATGGCTCGCTCGCTGCACCTCCTCCTGGTCACCCTCAGCGTCGTGCTGCTGCTCTCCGGCCCGGCCGCTGCGCAAGGCTTCGGCAGCCGCCTCCTCCGCACCTTCTTCGTGTTCGCCGAACAGCCCCTGTCGTCGTCCGTGGCCGAGGCCAACGGCTGGTCCCGCCTCTCGTCGACCTGCGACCCCGACGTGGGCTACGCCTACGCCCAGTCCCCCAGCGGCCCCACCAGCCTCTCCCCCGTCACCCTCTACTACACCGCCGCCGGCCAACTTTCTGGTAATATATAAATAATTAGTTATCAATATATTTTATTATTAGACGGTATCTTATTATTTATGTTATTTTGTTGTATTTGTTTCGATTTAGACTGACTTTTTCCCCCTATGGGCCAACAGGCTTTGGCGTCCGCGTGTCGGGTAAGATCGAGCAGAACCTGGTCAACCACGGCTTCTGGCGTCGCGTGGCGGGCCAGTCCGACACCTACGACATCTACATCCGCACGCGCGATGCCAAGTTCATGTGCTCGGGCGCCAAGTCGCTCGACGTGATCGGCGATCGGTTGGAGATCAACTCGTTCTTCACCGTGCCGCTCAACCAGTCGGTGGCGGTCAAGCAGGGCTGGGCGCCGGGCAACTGCATCGGCCGAATGGGCATCCACCACTCGTTTGATCTGGCGGCCTTCGGCGGCAACTCCTGGAACGCGTCGACCCTGGTTCCCGTGCAACCTATGTACGACGCCCAGCGCCACACCATCAACGCCATCCTCTTCAACATGCCGCACGCGGAATATGTACGTCTCTACTGGCCCTCCGCTCCTCCTCAACAGATTAGAAGTATCTCATTGACTATTATCTCTTTGCAGACCGAGCCCATTGGCATGTTCGAGGGTCCGTTCACCAACGGCCTCTTCTGCAAGAACTGGTGCGCCGACTCAGGTTGCACGTTCGACATTGGCTTCCACCTGTGGAGCACGATGCACTTCCACTTTGTCGACCCGTCGACGATCTCCTGCACCGGCTCGCCCTGCGTCTTGTAAAGCGAAGGTGCAAAGTGGAGTCCATCACTCACTCTGTCGGTTTCCCATTCTGACAGATGGAAATAAAAAGAAAAGAGAAAATTTCAGATCAACGGTCAAATCGCACAAAATCGAGCGTCGAAGGATTGGCCTTCTTTGGTGGGCAAATACAAATGGAAGTGCACCAGGTGCCTCTCGAGATGGCACACAAATCGATGCACGAGGAAAAGAGCGATTTGGAATCAAGATCGGGGGCTACGCAGAGATTGAAGCGGCGCAAGACGCCTAAGGAAGTGCAGCGTGCTCTGAACCTCCTGTTCTCGTCGCCTCCTCCCCGCCCCCCAAGCCGGCCCCACCGTACGCCTTCGATCCCGCCCCCCACCTCCCCATTACGCCGCTACTTTATCAATTGATTTATTCGTTATTCAATACGCTACTTGCAAGTAGAGGGCCAAGAAGAACAGGATGAGGAAGAAGGTGAAGATGAAGGCGAAGAAGAGGAATATCACACGCTAGAACTCGACGCCATGGAGTGGACCACCCTGCTGCCATCGCTCCGACCTCCACCCTCGCCTCTCACCACGTCGACTACAACCACTACTTCGGCCACCACTTCTTCTACTTCCGCTTCGAACGCACCTTCCCAACCCTCGGAAGGCGCTGCCGCCGGCGAGCCCACGGCGCCGCCGTCGGCCACTGCTGCGGCAGCCGAGTCGGCGGCGGACGCGGCAGCTGCGCGCGAGGAGGAGCAAGAAGAGGAGGACCTGGCCTCGAACTCGGCCGCCACCGCAGCTGCGGCTGCGGCGTCCACGACCGCCGCTGCGCCCGACGCGACCAGCGTGCCCATCTCACCCGCGTCCGAGTCCCAGGCCTGGGTGAGTCGCCTGACCACACGCGACCGTGGTGTGTGTGTTGTGTGTGTTGTATGTGTGTGTGTGTGTCGTGTGTGTGTCGTGTGTGTCGTGTGTGTCGTGTGTCGCCGTACACAGTTGTCGATACTGATTCTCCACCCACTGCTGGGAAGCGTAGGAGGACCTGTACCGCGGGCTCGACGATGTTCTGCGCAGTCTGAAGCGCGCCGACGTGCGTTCACCCCTTTGCCCACATACAATGAGCCCCTCTGAATTCAACTGTGTGTGTCGTATGTCGCGTATCGCGTGTTGTGTCGCGTGTCGTGTCGCGTGTAGGAAGACAACGTATTTGTGAACAGGGTGAACAAACGGGACGCGCCGAACTACTACGAAGTGATCGCGCGTCCCATGTACCTCAACCTCATGACCAAGAAGCTCAAGAAGGGCGACTACTACAGCAAGGCCGAATTTCAGGTGCGCCTCATCTGCTGCTTCTCTTGCGCGCGTGTGCGTGTGCGTGTGCGTGTGCGGTGGTGCATGCGTGTGTGTGCGTGTGTTTTCTGTGTGTGTGTGTGTGTGTGTGTGTGTGTGTGTGTGTGTGTGTGTGTGTGTGTGTGCGTGTGCGTGTCTGATGGGTGAGCGTACGCAGGGCGATATCGACTTGATCGTCGGGAATTGCAGGCAGTACAACACGGACCCGGAGTCCATCTACCGCCTCAAGGCCGACCAGCTGGAGGCCCACGCCGCGGAGCTGCTGGCGGCCGTACCCGACATCGACCTCTCCCACATCCGGCGCGAGGGCCGCCGGCCTCCATCGCTCAAGGGACCCGGCCGACCCCGCAAGCAGAAGAGCGACGAAGACACGCCGACGAGCGCCGCCGCCACGCCAGTCCTCGGCACCCCAGTCGTTTCCAAGGTGCGTGTGTCGTTCGTGTCGTGTGCGACTGCAATGGCTGACGCTGTGGGGTTGTGATGGTCGCAGCGAGGGCCGGGACGCCCCCGAAAGTCGAGGGAGGGCATCGCGGTCGCAGGTGCGCCGAGCGTCAGCCTCAGCGCCGGCGGCCCGAATGACGCCAGCGATGCGTCGTTGGACGCATCATCGTCGTCGTCGACGTCTTCCTCCTCCACATTGTCGTCGTCATCGTCGTCGGCCATGGCCTCGCTGCGCGCTCGCTTGCGGCCGGACCCCTACGTCGCTCTGGGCCTCGACGTCGACCACCTGCTCTTCCGCGCGCCTGTGCCCGGGAGTCTCGCGCTCCCCCCGCCCGCCGTCGCCGGTGACGCTGGCGCCGGCACCTCGCCCGCTGTCGCGCCGGCGTCAGCGTCGGCGTCGGCAGTGTCTACACCACCTGTCGCCAAGCAACTGGAACCGCCACTGGCGGCCACGGCAAGTCAGGCCGGCGCTTCTGCTGATGTGGCGAGCGGCGAAGCCTCGGGCGAGCAGTTGGCGTCTGCCGCCGCTGACCTCGGGCTGGCGGCCGACAGGTGGGCCACGCTGACGCGGCCCTACCGCCAACTCCACCTCGTACGTGGCCCGCCTCTCCGGGCTGATCGTGTGCGTGCGGCCGTTAACGCGCGTGTCGTGCGTGTCGTGCGTCTTAGGCCTATCGGAGCGAGCAGCAATCGCTGCCCTTCAGCGAGCGCGATGCAGTCGTCCGCTCGTCGGCGCGCATGGGCTCCTTCGTGCGGCTCTCCTCCGCTGACGCTGACGCTGCCGCTGCCGCTGCCGCCGCCGCACCCGTCGCCCCGAGCGGCGGCGTCGGCGGCGACAGTGGCGGTCTCTTCCTCCCCGAGTTCTCCCACGCGTTCGACGCCGTGCCGGCCGTGCCGTTCGCGGTCCGCTCCACGGCCGCCGAAAAGGCTCACATGCCGGCCCCCGGGCGCACGGGGACGCAGGCGCTTGCGGTCGCGCCCACGGCCGTCGCCGGCAACATCCGCACGCTGCGGCGGATCCGGCACATGCGCGCCGCCCTTCGCGCCAAGGTGCGCGCGCGTGTCGTGCGGTGTCGTGTCGTGCTGCGTGTGTGCGTGTGCGGTGGTGCGTGTGCGCACACAGCTCACGGTGAATGGATCAACAGGAGGAGCCGGGTGCCGGTGCGGTTCCGGGAATGCCCGATGACGCGCCGCCGGGTGTCGAGGCCCCGCCCGCTGACCTCGCGCAGGGCCTGGGCATGCTGATCTACCACGCCGGCTTCGAAGGTCTCCGCCGTTCATTTGGTAGTCGCCGGCTCAGTGCTGATCCATGTGTTGTGTGTCGTGCGGTGCTGTGTGTGTCGTGTGTCGTGTCGTGGGCTGCGTGCGCAGGTGCGAGCACGCGCGCGATGGAGGTGCTGGCGGACGTCACGACGGCCTACCTCCTAAAGCTGGGCCACCTCCTGCACCTCCACGAGGACGCCGCCGTCCGCCCGCCCTCCCACGTACGCTGCAGCCCATCTCCTTCTCCATCCACCTGTTCTAATCTCTGTGTGTCGTGTGTCGTGTGTCGTGTGTCGTGTGTCGTGTGTCGTGTGTCGTGTGTCGTGTGTCGTGTGTCGTGTGTGTCGTGTGTGTCGTGTGTGTCGTGTGTTTGTGCGTGTCGTGTCGTGTCGTTGGTTGTGTCGTGTGTGTCGTGTGTAGGAGGTGGTGCAGCGGTGTCTGGCGGCGATGGGGCGGGAGACGCTGCGGGACCTGGTGCGCTACTCGGACGGGCTCAAGCGCTACACCGCCCGACTGGGCCTCATCGACCGCCGCCTCCACGAACGCCTCACCCGACAGGTAACCAACCACCTTCACCTTCTGTATGACACACACCGCACTCACGGCACACCACACGCACGGCACGACGCACGCGACACGACACATGCGTCAGGCGGCGGGAGGGGGCGGGGCCAAGGTCGAAGGGGCGGACGAGGCGGGAGGCGGGAAGCTGGAAGACGTGGAGCTCACCGAAGCTGACATGGAGGACGTCACGGGCGGCGCCAGCGGCGGCACCACGCGACGGCGCAAGCGCGAGAACGACAATGGCGACATCGCGGGACACAACAACAACGAGGACGAGGACGAGCAAGACCAGGCCGCGCAGCCCGTGGAGGAGGCCGCGCGGGACATGGTGGGCGACAGCCTCGCGCCCTTTATCTTCACCTGACCTCTTCTTCGTTTCGCTCACACTTTAATTTCTCGAATTCTCTCATAATTATTTATTGCGCATTTTCGGAGTTAAGGAACGCGGAGAGCGGGAGAGAAATGAAAGCGAAAGGGAAAATGAAAACGAAAACGAAGAGAGAAGGGCCAACCGGGAACCCTATTGCGCAATCCCCCAAAATGCAAGCGAGTGCGGAGGATGACGGTGTTGTGGACTTGAACGTTGGGGGCACGCTGTACTCGACTACCCGTACCACCCTTCTTCGCCAAGACTCGATGCTCGCGGCCATGTTCAGTGGGCGGCACGAACTCAAGCGGAGGGCTGACGGGCGCATTTTCATAGACCGGAGCTGTTCAAGTACGTTCTTCAGTACCTCGCGACGGCGACCTCGACGTGGAGCACCTCGACCAGGGACTGAGGAAGCGGCTCAAGCGCGAGGCCGCCTTCTACTGCCTGCCCGGACTGGCGGAGAAGCTCACGACCGGTGCGGTGGATAAAGGTCAACCGGGAAGTATCTGCCTACGCGTTGTTGTCGCTTCCCGCGTTAGGACGCCTGGCAAAGGGGTCATACCGGAAGGAACAGTTTTCGCCGTGCGGGGTTCGCCATGGGATATCATGCCCAGACTTCCCCTTCCAGCGATGTCCCCTTCAACGTCTTCCCCGGCTGGGGGCTACTGGTCCCAGGTGCTGGACCAAGATAATTGGTGGTGGAACAAATTTGTTCCTGCTCTTCTCAGCTGTTTCACTGGCTACCACTTGGTTTCTGAACCAAAAAGTGAGGAGAACTCTCATGGTCCTTGTGTGTGGTCCTTTCACCTGAACCACTTTTGAAGGCACATAAAATATTTACCACTAACTTCACTTTGAAATAGCAGGGGATTTTGGTTGCCTCTCTCAAGACTGTGCATCTCAGCTCTGGGAGGACATGACAAGGATTGACACACCTGTGGTGCACAGCCTCCAAGTGGCCATACACCACACACATGACTGGCAGACCAGCAGCCATGCACACCACATTGTGCACTAGGGCCTGGCAGGTCTCACCACACTGGTCTGTGTGTCAGTGTGTGTGTGTCATGTGTAGATATGTATATTTATTCAATTAATAATTAAATGAGATTTTAGCAACATTCTCTGCATGGATACTAGGGGATAAGCAGTACCCATTGGCTGGCCTTCATGGCCAGCAGCAGTTCACAGGTGGCAAAGACACATTCAATACTCCAGCCCATCTCAAGATGGGAGGGAGCATTGGGAGAAGTCAGTGGGGTCTTCTGGGGCACATATTAACCCTAATTTGCATGTGAGATGAGGGTAGTTACCTTGTGATTTAGTCCACAGTAACTATGTTGATTTCAGGAATGCACAGTGCTTTCCATGCTGAAGCAGAGAAAAACTCAGAGGCCCCCCCAATTGAGACTGTGCCTGTTGCCATCTGTGAAGAGGTGAGAGGCCTAACCAATACAAGAAAGGCCCAGGAGCCTTGCTTCAGCCCACCAACCAGAAGCACAGCACAAGTTCAAGCGTTCTGTAGGCTATTCTGATGTGACACTCATTTGAATTCCAGTCCTTTTGAAAGCATGCAGCTTGCTCTGAAAAGACCAGGTTGTGGGTGGTCATGTGGTTGTGGTGGGCAAACACCGCCATATGGAAGCCGCATTGCAAGCACCGCCATGAGCCCATCCTGCGGAGTGGGAGGGACAAGAAATGCATGCAGCAAATAATAAGAACAATAATCCATCCTAAAAATCTTGTATTTCGCCTATGAAGGTGGTGGCTTCTTGCCGGCGCCGAAGCCTTTGCCGAGGAAGTAGATCTCCGCTGAGTCTGATCGCGAGGCATCTGGCTTGACGCTCACCACCTCCTGTCACCGCAAATGGCCGTAAGACAGGCGCACGCACGCACGCACGCACGAACACAACCGACGCACGCAATCGCGGCGTACCTTGAAGAGGTCGACGAGCCTGTCCTTGAACTGGTTCTCCTCGCCGCCGCGCGACACCTTCGCCAGGAAGGACCCGCCAGGCGCCAGCACCGATTCCGCTATGCCCAGCGCCACCTCGCCAAGCTCCTGTTGTTTGTTGTTTGTTTGTTGTTGTGATGTGTGTGTTGTGTGTGTGTGTGTGTGTTGTGTTTGTGTGTGTGTGTGTGTGTGTCGTGTGTGTGTCGTGTGTCGTGTGTCGTGTGTCGTGTTTGTGTGTTGAGTGCATAGCGGTGTGTAGAGGCAAAACTTGGGGAAAACCAACCATGAGTCGTATGTGGTCCACAGATTTGATTCCTGGTTGGTTGGGTTGGGTTGGGTTGGCGAGCGCGCATGTAAGTTAGTCAAGTCGGTTCGCCACGCCATTGGTCGACCCAAAGCCAGAGGCGTGTCGGCGGCGCTGCGGCGGCGTACCCGAGGCGGAGGGCGCCATGTCGGAGATGACAGCGTCTGCCTTGTCGTAGCCTCCCTTCGGGGGGGGGGGTGCGAGGAGTCAGTGGCGGCCAACAAAGTACCATCACAAAGGGGGGGGGTTGGTACCTGCTCCATGGCGTTGATGATGGCCGGCAACGCATCAGGACTCGACATGTCCAGCTGCAGAAACGTCGCTCCATCAACCACAATATCGACGGCTGCCGCACGCACCATCGCACACGACGCACGGCAAAGATGAGAAAGAGCAGCAATGAGGGAGGAGGCGAGGTACGTTTGATGTCGACCCCTACGACCAGGCCCGGTCTACCGCCCGCCTTACCCGCGACGCGCTTGGCGGCCACCTGGGTCCATCCGCCGGGCGAGCATCCCAGATCCAACACGCACTTGCCCTTTCTTTTGTACGACACACACGACACACACGACACACACGACACACACGACACACACGACACACACGACACACACGACACACACGACACGCGTGAGCAACATCCAACATGGCAACATCAACAAACGCGGTGAAGTCAAACTTGAGGATGTGGTGCTTGTCGTCGATCTGCTGGAGCTTGAAGGCGGCTCGCGATGCCAGGTTCTCCTGCTTGGCTTGGCTGTTAACAGCAGTTGTTCGGGTGAACAAACAAAAAAGAGATGGTTTAGCTTCAATCGGCATCACAGCTTTGGCTGCACACAAAGAGGCCCATCGCCGGCTGTACGCGTACCGTACGTAGGGGTCGCTCAGCTGCCGCCGCAGCCACTGTGTCGACCTGTGGCCCAGCCCATTAGTTAATTCTTAATAATTTATAAATAAATATAAATATAAATAATTTTATATAAAAAATGAACAATTAAGTTGAGCAGCGTACGAGGCACTGTCGCCGCTGACGAGGTGGGCACGGTGCCGCGGCAGGGACGCCTTGGGTGTGCTGTGGGCCTTGCCGCCGCCGGAGCCTCCGCTACTTTTTGTGGAGGTCAATCTTCGGACAGGTCCAGATCCGTCGCTCCTATGTGCATACATCAGAGCAGCTGTGCGTGGGGCTGCGGTTGGCGTCCAAGATGGCCTGAAGCTCGTTGTTGTGGTGCATCGTGCTGATCTCATCTTTCCGTTTATTTCTTTTTTGTTTCTCTTTTTTCTTTTTTCTTTCTCCCCTGAAAAAAGGCGCCAAGCAGAAAACCGGCCAAAACCGGCACAACGCATCGAGCAGTGGGTGACTCCACGTGAAGCCCTCAATCATCTCTGAGCCATTCACTGCAATCAACAAGATGGAAGAGCCTGATCCAAAGGTGCGCTGGAATATGATCAATAATTGCTCGGATATCAATGCCTCCAATTAATCAGATTAAAATTCATTCTCGTCGCTTCAGGGCGGTTCGGCTGACAGGGGCACGCTCACCCTTGAGCAGCCAACCCTCGTCTTCTCCTGGCACGTTCCCTCTTCTATGTCCCTTTCGTGCGCTGTGACTTGTGCGACCGCGCACTTCTATATTGATGGATGCTGTTGCGATGGCATTTTATTTTATTAGGGGAGACAACAGGGACGCTCAGCTGGGCCTAGGCGACTTTAGACGCTACGCGCAACCGCAGCCACTCCAGGTACGTGTGCGGTGGTGCGTGTGCGTGTGCGGTGGTGCGAGGCAGCTCGCTGATGGCTGCCCTGTTTTCGTCCCGAAATGCAGGAACTGAAAGGCAAGCAGCCGACAGTGGTGTCGGCCAGTGGCAACCTGTCGGCCGCAATCACAAGTGCGTCTTCCTCGATTCTTTTCTTCTTCTTCTGCTTCTTTGTAGTATTGCCCCAAGCGTTGTCGCCACCACGGATTCACCTTCGGCCCATTGCACGCGACACACAGAATCGGGTGAGACGTACATATGGGGCAAGTGCGGTCGGCTCTTTCACGGCGGCTGCGGGGACGAGCACCGGAGCATGCCCACACTACACGTACTACCTGCTTAACCACGATTTCTAGTGCTTTTCTGACATGTCTCGCTCGACGGTGACGCACGCACGCACACACACACACACACACCACACACATTACACACACCACACACCCACACACACGACACACAGCCGGAGCTCTCCAAGCTCAACTTGAAGAGCATTGCGTGCGGCTTGGGATTCGTCGTGGGCTTGACAGGTGCGCCGCTACTGCTCGCTGCTCCTTGCCCCGCGCATCACTCACTTTCCGCTTTCACATGACCAGAGGACGGAGAGGTGCGGGCTGTTGGCTCTGGGCAAATGGGGTGCCTCGGCTATGGCCTCACAAAGTACATTACATCCTGACAACCAACCAACCAACCAACCAACCAATGAGTATGTCAGCACTCAACACTAACCACACCACTACCACCACCCACCACCACCCACCACCACCACACACACCACATAGGGCTAGCGATGTACCAGTTGAGGCGAGAATCAGCGAGCCAGTGTCGAGCATCGCCGCCAGCGAGCATTTTGTCCTCGCGCTCACCGGTACGCACGGCGTATCTGTCCCTGCAACAGTGGAAGTAGGTTTAAACCTACGAACACACAACGCCTGCTTAACTAACTAGTAAATTTTGCGTGTCCCCAACGACAACAGAGGGCGGCAACGTCTATTCGTGGGGCGGGAGCGGCGCACGACTCGGCCACGGCGACGATCTGACCGTAAAGCTCGTGCCCCATAAGGTACTAGTAGTAGTAGTACTTGGTGTGCCCGTCCACCAATTCGTGGAAAGGCTTTTCGTTCTGAATGGCTGTCTTACTGCTGGGCCGAATCCCCCCTCCTACAGATCATGGGGCTGTCGGGTATTGCGTGTGTTGCCTGCGGCCACAGCTTTGCAGCAGCCATCAGCCGTAAGCCTCCTCGTCTGCGCGTTATGTGAGAATGAGTCTTTCACTATCTATCTATAATTCTTATTGTTATCATTATTGTTTCAAACATTTTGCTTATTGCAATGACACCCAACAGAGGCTGGGCAGCTGTTCACGTGGGGCGTGAACAAGGACGGCCAGCTGGGCTATGGCAACGAGGAAGACTGCAGCACGCCGCGACTGGTCCGCTTTCCCGCCCGACAGCGGTGCGTTGCATTGTATTTCGTTGCGTGCGGCAGCCTTACCGACCTGAATTTTTTTAACATATTTTGTTATTCTGGGGTGCCATTGTACCAATGGCAGTGTGGCCGAGATCGCGTGCGGCGGCGAGCACATGCTCTGCATTACTATCGGCGACAAAGGCACCAGGACGCTCTACAGCTGGGGCAACAATAAAGGTACTTCTGCGGCTTCTTCTATGTGCGCTTTTTTGTGCGATATTTACGTATGTTTACACATTTTTTGCTAATATGTGCCGGCGTTAGTGGGGCAGCTGGGTCTTGGCGATACCACCGCACGAAACGAACCCACTGTGGTCGAGGCCCTGCGGGGGAGAGGCGTGACCAAAATCGGCGCCGGCTGGAATTTCTCCTTTGTCACAACGGGTACGCGACACTGTATGCGTGCGTGCGTTTGCTGCGTGTCGTGTCGTGTCGTGTCGTGTGTTATGAAATTAATTCTTATTTTTTATTGTTTTTTGGGCTTTCTGCTCAGATGAGGGAGAGCTGTTGGCGTTTGGCGAGGGCGACAGCGGCCAACTGGGGATTGCGAAGCCCTGCAAGGAGCTGAAGGTTGTTCTTCCTCTTATTCATTTGAGCCAAAGCTGAAGGATGATGATGATGATGATGATGATGAATGAGATCGGGGAGTTCTGACAGTGCGTGTTTAACGTGCGCGGTTTCCTGTGCGGCGACTCAGCCCGTGCGGGTCACGCGCTTCGGCAAGCGGAAGATGCTCCAAATCGCCCCTGGCCGCGTCCACACGCTTCTCCTGACAGAAGGTGCGAACAACATTTATTTATTTATTTATTATTGTATTTTGTATTTTATATATTATTATTTTGTGTTTGATTTTATTATTGTATAAATAACTTATTGTATTGACATCTTTTCTTTGCTTTTTCGGAATTGGGAATTCATTTATTCGTTTGGGGCATGTAGGCGAGGCGCAAGTGGACGAAGAGGAGGAGGACGAACAAGATGTCGACCACTGGGAAGTGGAGGCCATCCGCGAAGTGCGCCGCGGTGTGGTACGGAGACCCGCTGTCCCGAGTTGTCATTTGGGTCACTTCGTGTGTATTGTGTGTCGTGTGTCGTGTCGCATACGCTTTGCGTTTGTGTTTGAGCTGATGTGTGCTTGTCCCGCGCAGGGCCAACTCGAGTACCTGGTGAAATGGCTGGGGTACCCCGAGAATCAGAACACATGGGAGCCCAAGAGCAACCTCACGCACTGTCCCGAGCTCATCCAGTAAGTGGCGTGTTGCTCACTTTTTTTTATTTTTATTGTTTTGATTTGGTGTTTTTGTTAGTATTCATTATTCATTATTCATTATTCATTATTCTCATTATCATGATTGCTAATTCGAAGCTTGCTGTTGGGCTGCACAGCGATTTCGAGGTCCATCAGCTCAACAAGAAGCTGCAGGCCCAACGAGAGGAGGAGGAGGAGCTGAAGCGCATCAACGAGAAGCGGCTTGCCAAGAAGCTACACAACCCCGAATCGATCCTCAGTGACCGCAAGTTCAGGGTAACCGCCTCCTTTATGATTCTCTCCTTGTCCCCCAATTCGACTTACGCGTGTGCGTGTCGTGTGCGTGTGCGTGCGTGTGCGTGTGCGTGTGTGTCGTGCTGCAGGGAGCCGTGCAATACCAGGTGAAGTGGCCGGACGCCCAAGCGATATGGGTGGCGGAGAAGGACCTGGACGCGCCCGCGCTGATCCGGGACTACAAAGCGCGTAAGGCCCAGCAGCGGCAGCGGGCAGAGATCCTAGCTGACCACGACGACTCCGACCACGAGCTCGACGGCTTCAACTTCCCCGGGGCCGACGGCGAAAAAGAAAAGGAGAAAGAAAAGGAAAGAGAGAAGGAGGAAAAGGATAACGACGCGATGGTGATCGACAAGAAGAAAGAGAAGGCGGAAAAGAAGAAGGAGGAGGAGGAGAAGAAGACGAACGAAGCCAAGGAGAAAGAAGATGAAGAAGATGATATTCTGATGGTGAGGGAGCTGACGACGCCCAAGAGAAAGCCGCGAAGGGTGGTCCCCGAATCGCCACTGGACGAACTCCTCAACTCTGACGATGGCGGCGAAGAAAAAGAAAAAGAAATGGAAGAAGAGGAGGAAGTGGAGACGACGACGAAGAAACGAAAGCGGTTGAGCAAGGGCAAGCGGACGACGATGACGACCGGCAGGAAGAAGAAGCAGAAGAAGCAGAAGAAGCAGAAGAAGACGAAGAAGAAGCAGAGCACTTCGGAAGAGGAGGAGGTGGTGGAAGATGTGGAGCTGGACGAGGAGGAGACGAAGGAGCTGCTCAAGGAGGCGGCCTTCGTCATCCACGGGGACGACAAGGAAAAGAAGCGGCGCAAGGAAAAGGAGCTCGCCCTCAAGATGCACAAGGTGCACCCCTGCCACCCCTCGCTGCGCACCTGCACGTCCCAACCTAACGAACTGCGTGTCGTGTGTGTCGTGTGCGGTGGTGCGTGTGCGGTGGTGCGTGTCGTGTGTGTCGTGTGTCGCGTTGCAGTTGTCGTCGATTGTCCAATGGATCGGCAAGCCCATATTGCCGCCTAAGCGCAGGGGCACCAGTGGCAAAACTTTCTATCGCGTACGCACACGCACCACCGCACACGCACCACCGCACACGCACCACTGCAAAGTTATTGTTTTTTTGTTCACGCAACCGCGCCTGCGCGTTGGCAGGGGTTCGTGTTCGCTGGAACGACCTACCGAGTGGGCGATTGTGTGACCCTGCGGCCAGAAGACGAGGCCGATGACTGGTACGCCATCATCGACGAGCTCTACGAGGTACCTCTCTCCCACCTTCTTCTGCATGTATGTGTGGCGATTGTGTGGTGCGTGCGTAGTCGTGTGTGTGTCGTGTGTGTGTGTGTGTGTGTGTCGTGTGTGTGTGTGTGTGTTTGTCGTGTGTGTGTGTGTGTCGTGTGTGTATGTGTGCACGCGCGTTACTGATCAAAGCTTCCTTGTTTGATTGTAGACACGAACGGGCCAACTTGAGATGCGCGGCTCGTGGCTGTACCGCCCACAGGACGTGCCCGTACGGCCCCCTCCATTGCTCGTCGTGTGGCGCCATTGCTCGTCGTGTGCGGTCTGAGACCTCGGTTATGTTGATAATTAATTGGCTTCATTGGCTTCTGCGCGCGCAGGAGGAACTGGTGGACGACCTCCACGTCAAAGAGCTGTGTTTGAGCAACCACATTGATCCCAACCCGGTCAACTCCATCTCTCGCAGGATTCTCGGTACACACACACACACACGACGTGACGCGACGTGACGCGACGCGATCTGACGCACTGTGTGGTGCAGTCCTCAGCAAGGAGGAGTTTCTCCCGATAGAGAAGAAGACGCGGCAGGAGCTCGAGGCACAGTTTCCCGACCTCGCTACTCCCGCTCTCAACAAGGTACGGAACCACCCAACCACCGCCCGGCCCACATTCCGCTTGTTCCATCTCACGGAGCGCCGTGTGTGGTGTGTGGTGTGTGTGGTGTGTGGTGTGTGCGGTGTGTGCGGTGGTGCGTTTGCGTGTGGTTTGTGTGGGGTGTGTAAAACACAGAAAATCAAGTCGCGCTTGGCGAGCCTCTTCTTTGTCGAGAAGAAGTTGGATGTGAACGCGCAGACGCTCAAGCCCTGCAAACCTCCCGTGCGTTCCTCATCTCCTTGCCGTATCGTGCGCGCGTGTCGTGTGTCGTGCGTGTGTTGTGTGCGTGTGGTGTGGTAGGGCATTGCGATGGTCCATCACTCACAAAACCCCAAAAAAACAAAACCAAAACAAAAACAGAAGCAAACGATGAGTGTAGAGGAGGCCCTGAAGCAAGGAGAAGGCAACGTGCGCGAAGAGAAAAGGCGGAGAAAGGGCAAGGAAAAGATACCGAGCGATGAAGAGGAAGAAGAGGAAGAAGTGGAAGAGGAAGAAGAGGAAGAGGAAGAAGATGAGAAAGAGTACAAGGCCGATCCAGAGGAAGATGACGAGGACGACGTCCTCGAGGTCGACATCAACCTCACGCCCAAGCCTAGTACGCGCTCGTCGTCGTCGTCTTCATCGTCTTCTTCATCATCATCGTCGTCATCATCGTCGGTCAACCCGATCAGCATCACCCGCAAGACGAGGGCCGCGGCCACCAAGGCAGCATCCCCGAAGAAAGCGAAAGCGGCGGCCAAGAAAAGCGAAAGCGACGACGAAATGGAGGAAGAGGAAGTCGTGACGCCGCCGAGAACAAGAGGCCGCAAGAAGCGACCCGCGTCCGAGGGTACTGCGGCGGTGGTGCTCGACGAAGACGAAGACGAAGACGAGGCGGAGCGGAGCCTCCGGCGGCCAAGCGGCAGCGGCGCGGAACGTCCGCCCAGCAGCCGCGAGGCGGGAAGAAGGCCGCGGCTGCGGCGCAGAGGAAGCCGAAGACGAAGTCGCAGAAGATAAAGAAGAAGGAGAAGAAGACGAGGAAGGAGCAAGTAGATGAGGAAGAGGAAGAGGAAGAGAAGGAGGTGCGCGAGGAGGACTGGGGCCTGCAGGCCATCGACGAGATCATGACGACCCCTCTGCAGAAGACGACGACGCCTGAAAAAAAGAAAATGAAGAAGAAGGAGGAGGCGACAGCGACGGCGCCGGCGCCGGCGCTCCCTCGTGCGATCATCGTTAGCATCGCGACGCCGGCGGTGGCCGAGCAAGACGCGAAGAAGCCGCAGGAAATGGAGAAGAAAGCGACGAAGGAAAAGCCAAAGGAAACGGAGGAGAAAAAGGAAGAGAAGGAGGAGGAGAAAAAGGAGGAAGAGGAGGTCCAGAACAGCCCCGACCTGTTCCCTCAGCTGCAGCCGCAACCGTTGGCGGAGACGACGGCCATGGCGACGACGACGACGGAGCCCGAGGCCAGCCAACAGTTCTCGCTCGGGAGCCAGACTGATGACACACCACCCTCGCCACTCGTAATCTCTCCTCGACACGACACGACACGACCAACGACACGACACGACCAACGACACGACACGACCAATGACACGCAACATGACACGCAACATGACACGCAACATGACACGCGACACGACACGGCACGCATGGCACACCAGCAAATGATGGAGCGTTGTACGTGTGTGTCTTGCGATTCACCCCCAGGTTGCCCAGCCAGTCATACCCTTACCCCCACCGCCTGTTGCCGCACCCGCCACCGCCACCGCCACCGCCACCGCCCCCGTCCGTGAAAATCCGCACGCATTGTACGACACGACACGACACGACGCGCACACGACCAACGACACGACACGACCAACGACACGACACGACACGACCGCACACGCCGCACATGCACGTGTTGGTACATTCTCACGGTGTGTACAGAGGTCAGCAGCTGATAGAGGCCGCCGGGCGCGGGGATGTTGAGGAGGTCAGCCGCCTGCTGCAGCTGAGGGCCGATGTGACCGTCGTCAACAGGCACGGCCACACCGCGCTCATGATGTACGTCGGCCTTCTTTTCTTTCATTCAATGTACACTCATCTACGTGCGCACACGACACGACATACGACACGACATACGACACGCACCGTGCGCTTCTGTTTCTGCTGACTTGTGGGCTGGTGCCAAACAGAGCGGCGGCGAGGAATCACGTCGAAGTGCTGCGCGTGCTGCTCGCTCTGCCGCATCCACAAGTGCGTGCGCCCTTTCCTTCTTTCAAAGACAAAACACTGACAATGTTGTCGTGTCGTGTCGTGTCGTTGGTCGTGTCGTGTCGTGTCGTGTCGTGTCGTGTCGTGTCGTGTCGTGTGCGCACGTGTGTTCTCTGACTGAACGCCAGTTGGACGCCCGCGCCAATCTGGGCCTCACCGCGCTGCACTACGCGGCCGGCAACGGAGCCGCCGAGGCTCTCCAGCTCTTGCTCAACGTACGAGCCCCTTTTCTTTTTCGATTTTTTTTTATATATATTTGTTGTTACAAATAATAATCACACTTTCAATTTGTGTGATCGGCCGCAGCACGGCGCGCGATATCAGATGAAGGACCTGCGCCAGCGCACGCCGCACTACTTGGCCCAGCACAACAACCACGCCCAGTGCGCCGCCATCCTCGAGGCGCACAGGGCCAGGCGCATCGCAGAGCTCCAAAAGCAAGCCGAGAGCCCTTCCTCCTGAGAAAATAAACGAAAAAGTGATCAGCTGCCTTAATTAATGGTTGGACGACCTTGCCCACGATGTAGAGCTGGTTGTCATCCGTTGTGCGTTCTTTGAAGGTGGCCAGCAAGCTCTCGGGGCAGGAATGCAAGTGTGAGCGTGCCAACAGGGAACTGTGTTGTGAACCTCAACATTGGGTGGATGGTGGTGTGTACTGGCAAGCACTTTGTAGAGGGTTGCATATCATCTGCCTCCTCCCTCCACACAGACTGGTGGAGCCTCTTCAACAAGTTAATCTCAGTTTAGACAATAACAATTTTTCTGTGATATTGTGTTTTTTTTTGTTACACCATCACCAACTGCGGGTTGTCCACGATCTCGGGCTGGTGGTGAGCGAAACTGGCACTAGCGAGTGGGGGATCACTGGCGTGGTGGTGGGTTCGCCAATGATGTCGATGATCATCGTCACCTTGGCCGTCTTGGGCTTGACGTGCTTCTTCAGGACCGGGTCCCACCGCTCCTTGGCGTGCTTGATCTCCTTGATCTTCCTCTCGAACCGGAAGGCCAGGCCGGCGTCACGGCCCAGGCCCTCGTTGAACAACTGCTCATGCTCCCTCAGCACGGCCTTGGACTATTTAACAACACAGCACCATTTTGTGATTGGACCTGCGCATCAGTTAATGAGAAGTTGCAACTTTTCATATCAACATATGAATAATGTCTACAAAAATGTAAATAATTTTGTTGAGTAGGTACCTTGACGGCGGAGATGATGGCGAAGACGACGATGCCCACGAAGCTCAGGGCGAAGAGGAGGCCCCACGGCCACAGGGCGCCGGCCGACGGGAACTTGAAGTTGCTGACGTCATTGAAGGCCGTGAACATCGACACGGCGAAGCCGATGAAAGCGCCGACCACGCCCAGCACGCACAGGAGCACGCCCCAGCCCCACCGCGCCGCCACGGCCAGGTCGTGGTTGAGCCGCCGCACGTGGGCCACGTAGTCGCCGTCGGCCACACGGCCGCGGATCTCGTTGGGCACGTACTCGGGGAACGCGCCCGCGCCGAAGCACGACGGGTCCATCTTGACCCGCACCTGGCCGGGTCCGCCGTGGTTCAGGTGGTGGTGGTGGTGGACCACCTGAATCTGATTTTCGTAGGGTGCGCCGCCGGCGGAGAATGTCTGCACGGGGGCATGCGGCGGAGGGGCATAGGGGTGATGGTGCTGGTGGTGGTGGTGGTGGCCGGTGAAGTGGTCATGGTGGTGCTGGTGGTGGCCTCCGTGGTGGTGCATGGTAGTGGGCAGTAAGATAGAAAGGAGTTTTGGTTGGTACTATGGTTTTGTAGGGGGTTGTGGAAGGACCCGCCACTCCGGTAACTACCACCGTGGGCTTCTTTTTGTCCCGCTGCCTGGACCTTCTGTGGTAGAAGGCCACGGTGGTATGACAACGTTACAAACGAAAAGCTGCTCTTGCAGTTTTCACAATTCTACAAGAGAAGGAGTGGCGCCTCTTCGACTCGTCCGCCGCCTTGGCCTCGGCCGCGCCTCCAAGACCAGGCGAGACCAACACCGAGTCCGCGTTCTTCGCTCCGTCGCTCGTTCTCCTTCTTTCTTTCTTCTCACCAGAAACATGTGACATAAGTCTCCAACCTCACAAAAGCCCCGAGCCATGCAACCGAACAAAAAACAAGTTGCAGAGAGAAGAAGGTACGACGGCACCGTCTCCCCTCCGTCATGATGTGCACCTCACCTTGTTCTAACCAAGCAATTTTTGCAAGCGTTGTTGGTAAGAAACAAGAAAAAGAAGAAAGAAATGTACATGTTGTGCATGTTGTATCACTTCTTCTTGGTCTTGCCGCCCCGTTGGCGCGTCTCTTCGGTGGCTTGCTCCATCTGCTCGCGCATGATCGAGTAGGCCTCGTTTCGCTTGAGCAGCGAATGGAACGCGTACTAAAATGTCGGGACACGGCACACGATGAGAGAAAGCTCAAGACCCACGCAGCACTCGCACACGCACACGCCGCGCGCGCACACACACACACACACTACTGATCTGTACTGGTCTGGGTACCTTCGCCCCGGCGTTCGTGGAGACCGACAGAGCGTTGGGCAGCAGGATGGCGGTACGCTTCTTGGTCACCGACTTCACCTCCGCCGCCGGCACGTTCACCTGCCATCCACGGATGTCACAACCAACCGCGTAAGTCGCCTTGCCCCCAGAAAGAAGGGCGCGGAGCTAAAAGAAAGAATGAAAGAAAGAAAGAAGCGGAGTACGAGCGAAGAGCCGACGGAGGGCAGGAAGCAGAAGTGGGAGCGGAAGATCAGCAGCCGGCCGGGACCCGACGACGCCTTGCTCTTCAGCACGCACCCGTACTCTACACAAAGACACAGTCACACGACACACGCACGACACACGCACGACACAGCTTGAGTCATTCAAGCGAGTGGGTGTGGAGAGCTGGAAAAGGGAGTGCGTACGTTGCATGAGGGTCTCGTCATCGGGCAAGTTGAAGAGGGAGAGGAGCTCCTCCTCCTTCTCCGATTGGTGCTTTGAATTGGTGATCGTTTTTGTCCTGCAAATCAAAAAACATAAATGAATAACCAAACGACCATAAGACACACGCAACACACGACACACGCAACGCAACACGTGTGTGCGTCGTGTGTCGTGTGTCGTGTGTCGTATAGACGTGTGTCGTGTGTCGTGTGTGCGTCGTGTGTGTGTCGTGTGTTCACCTTTCGCGACGGCGCGGAGAGACGATGTTGCGCGGCGAGATGGGGTGGTGCGCGATTTGGATGCGCGACACGTCGTCAGCGGCGGAGATCTCCTCGTAGGGCACGATGGCCGTGTTGCCCAGCAGGCGCGCCTGCGCGATCAACATCTCGTAGCACTCCTCCGACCGGTTCGACGCGAAGCTCCAGAACGCGTAGTCCTAGCACACGACACACGCGGCACACGCGACACACGACACACGACAGTTAGAAACAAAGCTGTTGTAGACTGTTGGCCTCATGAGTGTCATACGCACCTCCTTGTCGGCAGTGATCTGTATGGCATCAGGGAAGCTCACGTGTTTGTTCTGCACACGACACACGACACACACACGACACACGACACACGACACACACACACACACACACACACACACACACACGACACACGACACACGACACACGACACACGACACACGACACACGACACACGACACACGACACACACACAACGATACACGATGGCACACGCGACACGGTTAGTGTAACGAGAGGAGAAGGAGGGAAGACCGAGGAGCAGGTACTCGGGCGACGAAGGTGATCTGTTGGATGGAGATGATGAGCTTGCGGGCGTCCACCAGCGGCTCGAAGCACAGGCTCGACGTGGACAGGTACAGCCGCCCCCTGATCTTGTCCGCATTGTTGCACTCAAATTCTGTAATCAATTTTAAATATATATATATTACATTAGTAGGAAGGTGTGTTTATTATTCGTATTCTTATTTTCTTATTTATTTTATTTTATTATTTTATTATTTTATTAGTTATTATGTATTAGTTTTTATTCCTATCGTTAGGGTACCGGCGATGAGTTGGTCGTTTTTGCTGAGTTTGAAGAATCGGCGGATGGTCTGGTTGCGCGCCGACGCCCGCTTGGCCGTCACGAACTCTTGCGCCTCCTGCGATGACCATGCGATCAGCAGCAGCAGCAGCAGCAGCGTGGTAACAACTGACTGGCGCCAGTCCGCCTCGACAGTCGCGTGCGGCGGTGGAAGGGGCGTGTGAGCGCACCTTGTCGCCGGGGCGGGCCGTGAGAATGCAGAGAACGTGCCACTCCTCCAACGGGTCGGCCTTCAGATCGTCCTGCGGCGTGCGCGGCGGTGGTGCATGTCATGCGCCTTGAGCTAAGCGAAGACACGGAGGTTCTTCGGGCCGTACCTTGGTCTGCTCGGTCTCGTGCTTCTTCTCGATGCCCCGGTAGATCGACTTCAGCACCGACGTCTCCAACTCATACAGCGCTATCGACATGACACACGACGACACACGACGACACACGAGACGCGTTGAGAATTTGCCGGCAGCGTATGTGACGTGAATTGCACGAGGCAGAGAGGCACCGATGGCGCGCCGGAGCAGAACGGTGGTGCTCTCGAGGTACTCCCGCTCGAGCCCGTCGCCATCGGCCTCGAAGAACTCGAAGAGCAGCTGCGTGACGATGTACTCCAGCATCTTCGCGATCCGCGGCCGGTTGCGCGGGCCGTACCGGTCCGTCTCCGCGCTCACCGGCAGCAACAGCTCCTCAAAGTCCTGTCCATTCCACACATTCCACACATTCCTCATCAGCGTGTGTCGTGCGGCGTGTGCGTGTGCGTGTGCGGCGTGTCGTGGCGTTGGTACCTTGACGATGACGGTCCACACGTGGGCGAGGAGGATGGAGAAGGCGTCGAAGTAGAGGTGGTCGGAGAGCACCCCGACCTCGCTGTTGAGGTACTGGAAAAAGTACTCCACGCGCTCCTCCGCAAGCGAAAGCAGTTGCCTGACACAGTACGCCCAGCCACGTCAGCCCACGTGCGTGCGTGTGCGGGGACGTGTGTGTCGTGTGTGTGTCGTGTGTGTGTCGTGTGTGTGTCGTGTGTGTGTCGTGTGTGTCGTGTGTGTCGTGCGACATACTCAGAGGGCTGCGAGACGAGAAGGGCTTGGGACTTGTCCTTGCTGTCCTTCCGGTCCTTGCGTTCCTGCTTTTCGATTTCCTTGATCCGCTTTTCCTCGCTGGCGCCCCCTTCCAGCAGATAATAGATCACTTGCTTGATCGAATCGTTCATCTGCCCGCACGACACGCACACGCGCACGACACACGACACGCACAGCACGACACACGACACACACAGCACATGACAGTGAGAAAGAATGGAGAAGGGGCAAAGGCGAGAGAGCGGGGTACGTGGGAGGTGATGATGGCGATGATCTGGTTGTAGCGCAGTTCGACGGCCGAGAAGATGCCGCCGAAGATCCGGGCCAGCTCGGCCTTGTCCTCCTTCGTCGTGAGCTGCGCACACCGGGCGGCCACGACAGCGACAAGTTTTTTCATTCGGTCAGTCGTTAACAGTCAACTACTGAGCCAGTCCCAGTGGACTGGCGTGACATGCGGCGCACCTTGGCGTGCAGGTCCTTCATGAGGCCGGCCAACTGCTTCACTATCGTCTCCACGTTGTTGATCTTGATGCACAACTATTTCCGTATATACACATTCACATGTTCATCATATACATAAAAATGTAAGGAATTCCAGTATACTTGAGAACAGAAGTGAGTAGAACCAAAAAAAAATAAATGAAATGAATAATGATGAGTACCTCTTGGTTGACGGTGGTGGGGAGTTTGCTCACGTCCTCGGCGTCAAAGCCCGCGGGCTTGGTGCGAAGCGCAGCGGCGACCTTGCCCAGCTTGTTGTTGGTCTGCCGCTTGCTGCTCCGCTTCGCGCTCTCGCTCTTGCGCTTGTCCGCCTTTTCGTCCTTCTGTACCTGTGTTCGAAGAGTGAGAAACACGCATCGACTCATAATTGCGGTACGCACACGCACACGCACACGCGTGGCAAGGACTGTACGTCATCATCGGGGAGAGCGGCGGGGATGATGACAGTGCTCGCGACGCTCTTCTCGAGCTTGGAGAGATAGTAGTCGACCACCTCGCCCACGGTCTTGATGCGGGCGGCCAAACACGACCACAGAATCAGCAACACATACAGCGCACACAGTCAACGCACGCACGCACGCACGACGCACGCACGCACTCGCAGCACGCACGCACTCGCAGCACGCACGCACGCACGCACGCACACGTTCTTCTTACCTTAGTGAAGTGCAGGAGAGAGGGGAAGAGGTTGAGGTTGAGGAGAAGCAAAAATTGGACGGCTTGACGCATCGCCGAGAACAGCGAGATCACGCTGGCCTGTTTTTTGAAATTGATTTTAATTAGACATCAAAAATCAATCACTCAATCAATCAATCAATCAATCAAGAAATAAATAAATAAAATGGGCCAAGAGAGGAGCGTACCGAGTGCAGAATGCGCAACTCGTCATCCTCCTCCTCGCTGTCGATGGGCATCCAATCATCGTTTTTGAAGGCCTACAATCACAAAACATACAAAAAGAACAATCGACAACGAATCCCTCGTGTGCGGTGGTGCGCGTGCGTGTGCGGTACCGTTTGCGACCACTCCTTGAGTTTCTCCCTACACTGGGTCAAATACTTGTCGACGAACGGGAGGAACAGCTTGTCAATGTCCAACAATTGCTGCTTCTCCTGCCTGTCCACGCACACCGCACACGCACCACCGCACACATGGCACACGCACCACCGCACACGCGCAATGTGTGAGCGTCGACGCAATGCACGTTGAGGGTTGCCGGCCGGTACCGATCGTATTGGGACATGAGCTGGTGCAGTTTGCGCAGCGCGAAGTAGACGTCGAACGTGCGGTCCGTCAGGGGCGGGTCCTCCGTGCCGCCCTGCAGCCACTCGGTCACCGCCACCTTAATGTGTGGGTAGTAGAGGAACAGCGCCCGCTCCACCACATCGACGCCGCCCAACCTACAATCCAATAAATGTTAAATATTATACATATTGTTACTATATGATACATTTAAATTAAATATAATGAATCTCTTGAGGCTTAACATATATATATATATATATTAATAATTGAAATAAAAGGAGAGTTGCGTACTTGAGGAAGGGCTGTTGGTAGTATCGCTCGTCCTTGTTGAGGGACGACACGATGTGGTCGCAAATGTCGGCGATCACGCCCTCCTTGGTCTCGCCCGACCCCTCGTCGTCTTCCTCCTCCGCTTTGGCCCTCCGCTTCACTGCGTCCACGCGCGCGCAACATTGACTCGCGAGTTTAATGTGGCGGCAGAAGATGGTTAAAATGGCGGGTTGCAGTGGTTTAAGGTGGCGCACGTTTGATCTCAGCGACACGTAGCAGGCGTGCCTGGAACTTGCCAAACCGAATGTTGATTCCCTCCTGCATATGTATATATATTATATATACATATATTAATTGTATATTGTGTGTTGGTCAGATGTAACCTAATATATGATCTCACATGGGGAGCGTAAAGGGTGGATCGACATACCTCGATCCACTCGGCGATTTCCTGTTTGAGGGTCGGCTTGGGGCCGGCGGCCTTGGTGCCCTTGCTGTTGCCGCTGCTTTTCATCGCCGCCGTCGTGCTGCTCTTCCGCGGAGACACCAACTGCACAGCCAGACGCCCCGTGTGCGTGTCGTGCGTGTGCGGTGGTGCGTGTACGTGTGCGCCACGTCAGCCTCCCATAAAAAATATCAACTCCTCCACCAAATGAATCGATGGGCTGCTGGGTGCGACGTACGGCGACCTCGTCGGACGATTGGCCGGCTTTCGAGGCGGTGGCGTACTTGTCAGGAATGGGCGGAATGAGCCGAAGCAGATCCAGAAGAATGCTAAGCAGGTCGGTCAGCGCCTCGACCGCAGATTCCACCTGCAGCTCTGCATTCCAAACATTTTTGTCAGTGCGTGTGTGCGTGTGTGCGTGTGTGCGTGTGTGCGTGTGTGCGTGTGTGCGTGTGCGTGTGCGGTGGTGCGCATGCATGGTGGCGTACTCTGGAGCTGCGCCGGGGAGATGTGACGCTGGGCCGACTTCTTGGTCTCCTCTTCGGCCCACATCACGAAGTTGTTGAGCTTGCGGTGGTACTGCAGCAGCACCTGCCGCACCTCCTCGCGCAGGTCCCTCACCGTGGCGTAGAACAGATCACGCTGTGTGGTGTACATCACGATGAGACCACACCCGATACACACGACACACACACGACACACACGAATGACATTCGCAACACGACACACGAACCTCTTGCGTGGTCGTAGTGAACCAAACGTCAGAGCGTTGCAGCTCCATGAGAGTGCGCAGTGTGGTAATGACGTGGGTGAGGTACTCCTTGCGAACCTCGAACACCTTGGTGATGATACTCAGGTACCTGTAACACCACCCATTGTCAAGTGCGCACACGACACACACGACACACGACACACGACACACGACACACGACCATCGACACACGACCATCGACACACGACGGTGGGGAGCGCACGCAAGCTTAGTGTAGAAGGGAGGAATGAGGTGTCGCTCGGCGAACTCTTCGAGAAGCCAGGCCGACTGCTCGCTCACGGGAAAGTGGGTGAGCGAGAGGGTCGACGCCAGCGACGGATTCTCCAACTGGACCAGCGTCCTGCCACCGGCCAGCCCAGACACACGTCAGCGACCACCTTAACCATGCTTCGCCACCTTAACCACCGCCCGCGAATGCACTGCGCCAGCTTAAACAAGCACGCACCTTAGGAGGACCATGTAGCCCTCGTAGTGAAGCGGCAGATCGTCGCGGTTGCGCGCCCGTCGCCTCTCCCACCTCTCCCACTCGGGCTGGGCACCCAAAACAAGAACGAAAAGCGAAGGAAAAACGTTAGTTGCAAAGAACGAAGAGAGACGAAGCGATACAGAGGTGTACCCCGGTCGTGTAGGAGTGGTTGCTGCCCATGAGCGGCCGCTTGTTGTGGATGAGGTGCAGAGCGAGGTTTACTTCACCGCCCGCCTGTTTGCGTGACCGCAGTTTTTTCTCTGCAGATGCGCGCGCGTCATGTGATCAGACGCAATGCGTGCGTGGTGGCGTGTGCGTGTGCGCGTGCGTGTGCGGTCGACTGGGAAGCAAACCATCAGGAGGGAGAAGAGGGAACCAATCTTCCCAAGGCAGCTGGAGCTCCAGGTCTTGATAGGGCACCAGGGCCACACCAACTGCGAACGCGCGGTGCCGAGCGTGAGCCCAGACTGTCAATGAACTCATTTGGGTGGGTACAGGCTACGTACAGCACTGGTCCAGCGCCAGCTTGACCTTGTTCTGTAAAGAGGAGCACATGTGAATTTTGTGCATGCGTATACCCAAGTGCCCGTGCGTGCGTGTGCGTGTGCGTGTGCGTGTGCGTGTGCGTGTGCGTGTGCGTGTGCGTGTGCGTGTGCGTGTGCGTGGTATGAGGGAAAGCCGCAGCGAGTGTGCTCCTTACCCACACAGACGCCTCGACGGCTTCAAAGGGCTGAGTGAGCTCCCTGTATGCGCACGGCACTCCGTCAAAAAACGTCCGTCGTCATGACAGGTGCGCGCGGTGCGTACACTTTGAATTCCTCGTCCCACGTGGGGCTGAGGCTTCGCACTTCGGAAGTCTTGCACTTGTCCTTCTTGGTGACCTGCACCTTGCACAAGGCATTCACCTTGCCCTCTGTCGTCGTCGTCGTCGTTGTCGTCGGTGGTGGTGGTGGTGGTGGTGGTTATGTTGGCGAATGTCAGAAGAATGAAGAACATCAGAGGCCAAGTGAAGAGGCACGATACCAGCTCCAGGCAAATCGCGGGCGCCGTGCACACGGATGTGGAGTCGGCCCGCATAGTCCGGCAGCTGCATATGCCATGGGTTGTGTCATGTTGCCATACGCCAGGGGTTTGCTTTTCTATAAAAGCATACATATATATAGAAACGAGACCAATATAGATATATATATATATACACATCTACATACTACCTAAGTTTAAACGAGACAGAAAGAGCGTACCTGGGTCAACGTGGAGATCATGCTCTTGAGCTTCTCCCGTTGCTGTTTCTTCCACGTCTCGAACCCGTCGGCGTCCTGTGACGTGTCGTTGTATGTGAGACGTTCGACGTCACAACAGGGACGCAACGCGGGCTGTTTCCGCGGACGGTTTGTTAAGTCAAAAGGCGCGCGCGTGGCATGTACCGGGAAATCGTCGCGGGTGAAGTGTGGCTTGCTTTCCAGGCTGGTCAACGTGTCGCCCAATCTGTGGAGCAAGTTCTGGGAGCGCACAGGGCTTAGTTGCGAAGCAGAAGCACGCCGATAAACGAGTGGATGTCATGAGTGAGCGAGTGAGTGGGAGCTTGCTTACATTGTTGCTCTCGATGGAGCCCTGCGCGAGCCGTCGATGGTTTCGGCTGTCCTTGTCGAACGCGTCGCGGAGGATCTCACATTCGCTGAGCAGGATCTCGTCGCGCATCTCGTCCTGCGTTTGAAATATATTTAAAAAATGATCAATCAATTAATATACAAGTAATAAAAATGGAAAAAGAACACATTAAAACAAAATAAACAAAAACGAAAGCGACAGCGTACGTGGAGCTGCCCGACGCGGTGCTCGGATACCGGCAGCAGGAGGGAAGCCGCGGCTTCTTTGTAGACCCAGTCAATCTAATGGCACACGACCAACGACACGACACACGACACACACGACACACACGACACACACGACACACACGACACACGACACGCATGGCACACAAACCACAAGAATTAAACAATTATACATCGGATCATGGGCGCATAGAGGAGGACGCGCGTACATCGTCTTTGCTGAGCTTGTCGGCGCCAAAGAGATCCTCGGTGAAGTCGAGGGACATCACTTGGACCTCCGGCAAATCGTCGTCGTCATCGTCGTCGCCGTCCTCCTCCGATTCCGGCTCGCTTTCGACCTTCTTCGCCGCAGCCTTTGGCTTTGGCGAGACTACCGGTTCCTTTTTTGTTTCCTGGCGGGCCGCGTGCATGTCCAGCGACTTAGTTGACTTCAAATGCAACACAACACACCACACACACACCACACACACCACACACGCACATGACACGCACGACACGGCGCTAGCTACCTGGCGCTGACGAGCCTCCTGTAGCTTGGCGGCAAAGTTGCGTCGCCGCCCCTGGTCTATAATGATAACCTTCGAATCAGCTTTGATTCCACGCACGCACACACACACACACACACACACACCACAATCGCACACGCATCATCGCGTGCTGATCGCGTGTGTGGTTGTGCGTGTGCGATGGTGTGTGCGAGTGCGTGTGTGGGTGGGGTAATTACCAGGAGAGATCTTTTTCATTTTGGACGAGTGCGAGGGGAGCACGGAGGACTTGATGAGCGAGGTGAACGGCAGCTCGGCGTTGGACACCATGCTCTCCACATTCGATTCCCTGTGATGTCGTCACACAACCGCCGCCCGTACGATCAGCGCGCGTGCGACGGTGCGTGCGGTGCTGTGTTGCGTTGCGTTGCGTGTCGTGTGCGGCACGAAGCTGCAGGTCATTGCGGCTGTGGCGTGTGCGGTTCATTGGGTAACGGCATAAAACAATTTAATTAAAATATAAGTGGGGCGGTGGTACGCGTGCTGGAGGGCCTTGATGACTTGGCACTGGTGCTTCTTGAGGGTCATCTTGACCCCCTCCATCGAGGGCATGTGCAGTCCTTCCATGGCGGTCTCGCCCAAATCTAATCTTTGAAATGAAAATCAATAATAATTGAAATAATAGAATGCTCTCACAAGGAAAATCAGAGGACAGAAGGAAGCGTGTACGTGGCCTGGACGGCAGAGACCTGCGGTGCAGTGCCACCTTCCGGCTGAAGTTGTAAAATGAAAAGAAAAAGAAACGGGACACGACTTTATTTAATTTCTTATTGTTATTGTTGCTTTCCTATGGCGTCCTTGGCCGAACAGCTCCAGAGGAGGCGGGAGGGGCTCAAGGAGGGCCAGACCATAGTCGTGGACCGGTCTGGCCGCCGCTTCGTGGAAGGACCCGGCGGCGTCCTCGTGCCCGTCACCACCAACTCTCCCGCAGCGTACCCCCCCCCCATTTTTATGTTATTATATATTTTCTTTAAACTAAATAAAAATTAAATAATCAACAGAGGATCGCCTGATGAAGAGGCCTTCTTCATCGAGGCGCCGCCGCACCCGGAGCTCTATGAGGTGGGCCAAGGCTCGAAGCTTTTCATCGGCGCCCAGGAGGCCGCCACCAACCGGTTTCGCCTCTCTTCTCTGTGTCGTGTGTGTCGTGTGTGTCGTGTGTGTCGTGTGTCGTCGCTTTAGCCGCTCGTGGTGGTGATTGCTAACGTTAGGCCATGGCCGTGGTGTGCGCCCCAGGGACGGGCTGGCCGCCCACAACGTGCGGCACATCCTCAACGTCGCCACGGGCATCCCCAACGCCTTTCCCAATGTACACACGACGCACGACACACGACACACACCACTGCATTCTTGCGCGCGTGCGCGGTACTGCGTGTGTGCGTGTGTGTGTGTGTGCAAGAGAAAGAGAAGAGAATGACCACTTACCACCGTGCCCGCAGGACTACACGTACCGGACGGTGGCGATGAGAGACGACGAGGAAACCCAGCTGCGCCCAAGCCTGGACCAGTGCTTTCAGTTCATCGATGAGGCCATGGCCACCGGCGGTGGCGTGCTCGTCCACTGGTACGTCGCGGTCGCCCAAATTCGGTCATTGAATGCGTGCGCACACGACACGACCAACGGCACGACACATGCACCATCGCACACGCAACAGCTGATGATCGGCATCGTCGCTGTCTTCGCAGCAACGCTGGAGTGTCGCGCTCGGCGTCGGTGGTCATAGCCTACCTCATGCACAAGCACAAGATGCCCTTCAAGGACGCTCACGACCGCCTCAAGGCGGCTAAGTACGCCACACACGACACACACCCGACCAACGCGAGGCTTACATCTCCACTCCACACGACACAACACAACATATGACAGGCCGGACATCAACCCAAACCCCAACTTTAGACAGCAGCTGGCGGCCTTGGAGCGCGAGTTGTGCTGCTAGCCCCCCCTCGAGAAACGACACACCGCACACGCACACGCACCACCGCACACGCACACGCACGGCAGATTGCTGTGGATGCAGTGCCCGGTGAATTTCCCATCAACAGCAACGCGCGTTAATGAATTGGATCGTCAAACCAGGTGGCGCAACCCCACACACAACAACTGCAATTGAGAAGAAGAAGGGACCGCAAAACCAACTCTTCGTCGCACCACTGAGCGCCGGCTTGTGGCCCTCGATATCCCTTCTTCTCCACTAGTTCCGTCCATAACTAACCCCGACGAAGCGAAACGCAGCAACAACGACCACATCGATCCATCCATCTATACCAGTGGCACTCTGATCTAATCCCCAACGAATTAACAAGAATCCGAAACACAAAGAATCGAGTCAGATTGGAAGACTGAAACGAATCAAAAAGATCGAAGAGGAAAGAACGAAGCAGTAGAACAGGATGGCGTTCGCTAAGACCGAGTACAAGCTGACCGTGCTGGGCAGCGGAGGCGTTGGCAAGACTGGTATGCCCTCCTTCATCTTTGTGTGGGTGATTGCATCAAGTAGTTCACTGAATTCAGAGTGAAGATTGGATCCACCATCTCTTGCTCTTGGGGGCGTTGTATTTGTGCTATCTAGCCACAATGGTCATTGTCTGAGTTTGTCGTGGTGAGTCTGTCACACCCATGTTAATCCCCCCCCCCGACCAATCGTTTTCGTTCTTCAGCATTCACGATCCAGATGTGCTCGAGCCACTTCGTCGAGTACTACGGTATGTACAACCCCTTCTCCTTCCTTCCCATCTCCCTCGAGGCCGGGTGTCTCCCCTTTCCATCTTTACCTTTGCTGACGTCAGCACGATTTGTATTATTTTAGATCCGACGATCGAGTCGTCCTACCGTAGGCAGGTGGTGATCGATGACATCGCCTGCGTGCTCGACGTTCTCGACACCGCCGGTCAGGAAGGTGTGCGATCGTTGCATGTGTGCGCGGTGTCGTATGTCGTGTATCGTGTCATGTGTGTGTCGTGCGTTTTTCGCTGATCAAGGACGGGGCCGCCTGTCCGCGTGGCAGAGTACTCGGCGCTGCGTTCGCAGTGGATCCGGGGAGGAGAGGGCTTCCTCATCTTGTACAGTATCACACAGCGCACCTCGTTCGACGAGGTGGAGGGCTTCCGTCGCCAGATCTTCCAGGTCAAGGACGTCGACGCTTCCGAGGCGCCTCCCATCGGTACAACCATCATCATCATCACCATCATCGCGTCGTCATCGTCATCATCATTCTCCTACAGCCATTCACCATGAGCCTTCTGCTGACGTGTGCGTGCGGTGGTGTGTTTGCAGTGTTGGTGGGCAACAAGGCGGACTTGACGAAGGACCGCGACGTGTCGACCCAGGAGGGCCAGCACCTGGCGCAGCAGTGGGGCTGCCCCTTCTTCGAGGCCTCGGCCAAGACGAGGTGCAACGTCGACGAGGCCTTCTTCGAGTTGGTGCGCAAGATCCGCGTGGTGGAGGGCACGCCCGCGGTGGGCAAGGAGGGCGAAAAGAAGCCCGGCAGCAAGAAGCGCTCCGGCGGGACCTGGAAGAAGAACAGCTGCGTCCTCTTCTAAGCCAGAAGAAGGAGAAGAAGAAGAACACCAAAGCCACCTCTCTTTGCGTGAAGAAAGTACAAAATAAAACGAAATATTAATAATGAAATTTTACGATCATGTCATGTATTTTGGGCTCCTATCTAATAGTTGCCGACACGATTGTTTGCAGTGAAAAAGAGAAAAATAGGCTTGCACTGAAATTGAACAGAGAAAAGAGAAAGAGAAGGAGAGAGGTGCGAACAAACCAAAAACTAGAAGACGACGGCAGCGGCACCAGCATGCCGCTCGACCCACAACAGGAGCCAGGCTCAGGGACTGAGCATGTGGTGGCCATCATCAACGGCAGCAGCACCAAACCGCCATTGCCAGTGCACCCAGCAGCAAGCGACGGTGCGCTGGAGGGGAAGGAGAGCGTGGGCCACTCTGCAAGGAGCAGCTTTGAAGAAGATGAAGAAGATGAGCGACGACGAGCCCACAATATGATGGACATCGTGGTGGTGCAGAGGGAGGAGATGGATGAAGAAGAGGAGGAGAGCAGCAGGGGGTGGGTGTACCAGTACGATGCCGTGTCTACACGAGGGCACAGGCACCGGGTGGCAGTGCGAGTGCTGCACGGGCACGACACGGACGAGCTCAACCGGCTGGTGGTGGTCGACCGCCAGCTGTTCGGCTCCTCGTCGTGGAGCCTCAAGTGCTTCGCCCGCTACATACGACGAATGCACGGCGCCGGCTTCGTGGCAGAGATAAATGTACGTAAAAAATTTTGTTGTTATTTGTTTTCATTTATAAATTGTTGTTATTTATTTATTTATTTGCTTTCTTTTTATGGAAAATGTGAAATGATGGCTAACCCCTTGCTACGTGGCAGGGCGAAGTGGCGGGGTTTGTGCTGCACATCGCTACGAGCAAGAGGGGAGTAGCGGAGGTGGCCAACGTGGGCGTTCTCGAAGAGTTTCGCCAGATGGTACGCACCATGGGCGTCAGTTGTTGTAGCACATGTACAAGTTCTCCTCTCACACTTCATGTGATGTGTTGGTGTTGTTGTTGCTCGCCACGGTACAGGGGATCGCATCCACGCTCCTACGGCTGGCGCTGGACGACCTCGCCTCGAGGGGCTACCACACGGTCAAGCTGCACGTGGCCTCCCAGAACGTGGCCGCGCAGAGTCTCTACTTGAAGATGGGGTTCGTGCAGACCGGCTACAAGGAGGACTACTACTGGCAGGACCAGGACCGCGATGCCGTGGTGATGCGGCTTCAGCTCCTCCCTCTCCTTCCAGAAACCGAAGTCTCTTGCTGCTTCCTGTAGGAGGCAAACATCACCATCACCTTCAGCCTGTACAGCACAACTTGTAGAATGTAGAATGTCCCCCCCCCAACTCTCTTCGCCTTTGTCTCTTCTTCTGGTTGATTTCTCTTTCTCACTTCAGAGAACCACATGATGGTGGGCAGAAGGCTACAAAAAGACCGTGAAGCCAAGTTGATTTACAACCAGCTACAACTCCACCACTTAATAGAAGTAAAAGAGAGAAGGAAAGATGGAGGCATTGAGGGAAAAGCTGAGCCACAACGCGCAGGCATGCCAGGTGCGCGAGCTGCAGCGCAGGCTGCCCCACGAGCTGGCCACCAGGCAAGCGCGGCTGGCCAACGACGCCGAGGCGGCCACCAAGAAGAACACGCGCCAAAGCATACAGCGCCAAAAGCGGAAGGACAAGCTCGTGAAGAAGCGCCTCAATCAAAGAGGCAGGCAAAGATATCAGGATCCCCTCCCACCCCCCTCCACCCCAGCCAGTAACTCCCCTCCCCATCCATGTGGTGCGATTTTTTTTTCAAAATAATAACAATGCCATGGCGTAGGCTCCTCCGACGGAGTGGGAAGTGGAGGAACTGTGGGAGGAGGCGCGAGAGGAGGTCGGTGGGCTGCTGCCGGAGGACTGGCGCTACGACGAGCAGGGCTATTGCTACGCTGATCGCTGCATCGACTGGCTCTCGCACTCCGAGTACGCTCACCTCTCTTCTACCACGTGCCAACTGCTCTCCCAACTAACGCACACGTTCACATGACGCACGACGCGACCAACGACACGACCAACATACGACGCAATGCAGTGAGCAGAAGAGGCTGAGCGCGCTGTGCAGCCTGCATCAATTTCTATCGCCGCTGCCTGCTGATCGACACGACGGCGACCAGCGCAATCACATCGCGCTGCTGTGCAGCGACCACGCCGACGAGATCAGCGCCCAGCTGCGCCGCACTCTCGACGCGACCTCCCGCGAGCGGTCCGTGGCGGAGAAGGCTGTGGCGGTGCAGGTGGCCGGCCTCCTGTGCCTGTGGTCGCGGGAGTCACTCGAAGCCGCGCGCCTGAGCAAGCTGCTGGCCGCACTGGCCACCACCGCAACCACACCCGAAGGCGCGAACGACCAGGCCAGCGCCAGCAATGACAGCCACCTGGAGCTCAACCACAACGACCTTCGCGCCGCAGTGCGCCTCCCTCGCACGCACATGGGCCGCTTGGCACAGCAGCTCACATCGTGTGCGTGCCACGTCGTGTGTGTCGTGCGTGCCGTGTGCCTCGTGTGTGTCGTGTCATTGGTCGTGCCGGACAGGCGATCGAGGTGCTGGGCGTGGTCAACTTCCTCGAATTCTACGGGGCGTATGTGCAGAAGATGCGGATAGACGACGAGGTGGAGGCGGTGGTCCAGGCCACCTTCATGCCGGCGCTGCGGGCCACCGACAGCGGCAGTGGTTCGTCGGCCGCCGCTGCTTCGGTGGTCGGTCCCGTCCTGCATACCCTCGGCCTGATGGGCTCGCTCTGGTCCCCCGCGCGCCTGGCGACCTGGGTCGAAGAGTACTCGGCTCCCCCCCCGCAGCGAACTGGTATTGACTTTGGCTGACTCACACTTGGCATTCCCCAATTTCAGGAATGTGGAATTGATTCTGGAATGTCTGGGCCACGACGCCATCGTCGTGCGCCAGGCCGCTGTCGACACGCTTCTCGTCTTCTTGTCGATCGTCCACGACCAGGACGATGACGCCGATGACAGCAACGAGGAAGGAGGTGGCGAGAAGGAGGAAGCGGTGGCCGCCTGGGCGCAGATCGGCCAACACGACCTGTATCGGCTGGCGGCCCTGGTCGAGCCGCTCGTCGACACCTACTGTCGGCGAAGAAACCTCGAGGAGAACCACCTGCGGCGCACCGCCAAGCGACTCCTGCTCCTCATCCGCCGCCTGGAGGAGGACCTCCGCAACGGCGCCGACGCCGACGATGGCGATGAGAATGACGACGAAGACGACGATAACGACGAGGCGGGGGAGGACACGCCCTATCTGCGGTTAGTGCTGGAGAACGCGCCCGTCGACCACGATGCGGTGGTCTACCAGCCGGAGCTTATCGTCTACACCGAACGGTACAAATTGACACTCGGGGAGTCGCCTCGCTCAGGCGTCGACTCTAACGCTCACTGCGTTTTGTGCGTGTGTCGTGGTGTATGGTGGTGCGTGTGCGGCGGCGTGTGTGTCGTTGGCTCGAACAGACATATGAAACAGATGCGGGCGCTTATGTCGGTGACGGGGCCATCGCTGTCCATCTACGCGCAGGTAGAGCACCCGCATGTTCTTGCCACCATGGTGCACCATGGTTGTAACCTCTTCACGGGCATCGATGTGGGGCTGCTGAGCAGGGCGACGTGTTGGTGGACCTGATCCGGGTCATGGTCGAGGAGAACGAGCTCGTGGTCAGCTATCGGACCATCATCGATCGCCACTCTCCCTCTGTGAGCATCGACCCCGAGTCCATGGAGCCCATCCGAAAGCACTACAACTACGTACGACCGACAACACGCACCACCACACGACACACACACACACACACACACCACACACACACACGCACACACACACACACACACACACACACACACGACTTATGACATGCACGCACATTACAGAAAAGGGTTAAGGGAAGCAACAAGAGCAAGGGCGTCATGGACCGAACCTACGCCAACCCGCTCGCGCTGCCGAAGCCGGCGCACCCCAAGAGCGCCAAGCGGCTGACCTGGGCCGAGGCGTACATCCTTCGTGGCGGGCGGGGCAGCATCTCGTGCGGTGGCGGAATCATCATGGCGCGGAGAATCAGCGACATGGGCGGCGACGTTGTCAAGCCAGCACGGTGCGCACACAACACGCGCACGGCACACCGCACACGGACACGCTGAATCTAACGGCTGTTTGCGGGGTAGGTTGGAGGAGAACACCAACAGAGAGCGAGATCCTCGCAACGTAACGTCTGTGATGGAGCACGTCAACGCCAACGCTCAGCCGCGCTTCGTGCCTGTCTCGTAATTATTATAAATAAAAATAAATAGTTACGAAATGCTTGGAATGCGGCGGCCGTTGGGCCTTTCGCGCCAAAAGTCAAGTTGGTTTTTCGTCAGCCAGATCTCTCGCTCGCTCGACGATCAAGAGCAATCCACCAAAACAAGCAGAGCTAACCCTGGTCGAGCGTGAAGATGATGATGAGGGACTTCGAAGATCCGCTTCTGGTGTTCCAGGACATCGGCACGGAGGACAAGGAAAACATGGCGCCAACCGGGCCCAGATCGACATCGACGTCATCGTCATCGAGCGGTGGCCTTCATCCGCTCATGGCACGAACGTCCAAGAAGACGTGGAGCCTGGACGATTTCGAAATTGGACGCAAGCTGGGCAAGGGGCGCTTCGGAAATGTGTACGTGGCGCGGGAGAAGAGGACCAAATTCATTGTGGCCCTCAAGGTCATCTTCAAAGAGCAACTCGAGCAGAACAAGGTCGAGCACCAGCTCAGGCGCGAAATCGAAATCCAATCCCATTTGCGGTACGCACTACACCGATCGCGCTACCTCCACATCAATTTCTCATTTGCTTGTACACAAAGACACCCCAACGTGCTGCGCATGTTTGGATTCTTCCACGACAAGACGCGCGTGTTCCTGATCCTCGAGGTACAACAATACCAAGCCTCCATCATCATCATCATCATCATCGTTCAACATCAGCCAATCGGATCTAATTCGTGACTCCCATGTGGGCGGCGCAGTACGCGCCTGGCGGAGAGCTCTACGCCGTGCTCAACAAGAAGACGCGCTTCGACGAGAAGACCGCCGCCGAGGTACGTGCATTCATCATCACCATGGCCTTCCTCGTCCTCTTTACTAACGCACTACACGACAACGACACGACCAACGACACGACACACGCACAGTATATCTACTCGATCGCCGACGCGTTGTGGTACTGTCACACCAAGAACACGATCCACCGAGACATCAAGCCCGAGAACCTCCTGATCGGCGCCCACGGCGAGATCAAGATCGCCGACTTTGGCTGGTCCGTGCACGACCCCAAAGTCAGGTAACACGCCTCCCCTCTGCACTCTCTTCAATTTCGTGCGTGTGCGGTATGCGTGTGCGTGTGCGTGTGCGTGCGCGTGTGTCGTGTGTCGTGCGTGTGCGTGTGCGTGTGCGGTGGTGTCTAACAATACAAAACACGCGTTTTTGTGGTTGCTGCAGCACGCATGGCCCGCGAAGAAAGACCCTGTGCGGTACCCTGGACTATCTCCCGCCGGAGATGTTGGAGGCCAAGCCCCACGACGCCAAGGTCGACAACTGGAGTCTGGGCGTCCTCCTCTACGAGTGTACGTTCTCCCCCCCCCGTACCACCTCCATTTTCACGGCCAACGGCTCAACCCACTT